AAAAAAAAAAAAAAACCCCCCGCAAAAAGTTCAAAAAAATATTTAAAAAAAAAAAAAAAAAAAAAAAAGCGTAATTCTCAAGAAATCAAGTAAATCAATTCCTTTAGCTTGGAGTCTTTTGGTTTGTTGTGTTTAGCTTCGTTATTCTATTTGGAGAGAGTCAACACAGTTACAACCCACAAAGTGAGCTATATTGACTCCCAAACAGGCATAATGGGGAAGACAACGTGGAGTTATTAAGGGTGATTTAGAGTGGATTCCTAAAGGACAAGTGGCCACATTGATGCGGATGAAGCGTACAGTGTGCCCACGGCTATCTGATTAGGGCCTGCCGCGGCCCAGATGAATCACCCATTCAGGCGTCGTCGTAGCAGCGTTGCTTGTGCTTTATGTCTGAGCTTCGCCTGCCTAACAGCGACTCCTTTAAGTATGTGTGCTGCTCTGTGTGTGTGTGTGTGCGCGTGTGTATTGGTCTTTGATCTGAGAAGCTTTTAAATTATCTCATTCTGAAACATGACTGCCTTTTTGTGGGTGGGTTCGTTTTGTCTGCCAGATTTGCGTTGGTGCATAATGGCGCGCGGACGAATGGTAAGAATCGAGAAGCAGAAGGAGATACATTTCAGCGCTCCACCTCCTCTTATTTATTGTTCACTGAGCTTTCCCCCCCCCCAGACTGCCCCCTCCCACTCCTCTTTCTGTTTTCCTAAGATGCTGCCTTCGTTTCTCATTTAGGAGTTGCGCTGCCTACATCAGTCTGACTTTCATTTACTCCCCTCTCTCTCTCTTCACTCCTGTGGGTGAACCGCAGCCTCTCCTCCCCCCCGCCACCCCAACCCCAAACCTCATTTAAGCACCGATGCCACCGGCGTCAGTGTTATTTTGGGCTGCGACAGCAACCAAGCCCTCCCCATCAGAGATTTTAGAACCTCTCCCGACGGCTGCCTCTGGGTCGTCAATGGGGTCGGGAAGGAGAGCACCGTTTTCTCCAGAAGGTCTCAGGTTGCCCCTGTCGGTCCGCTCCAGCTTGCGGTGCTTGCGTGGCTCCGGGGGCGTGTCCTCCTGGTTGAAGACGGAGCGGATTCGCTCCACGCAGACGTTGGCGGCCTCCCTCGTCTCCCTGGAGAGCTGCGAGAGGCTGAGGAAGCCGTGGGGGAGGTCGTCCACCACGCACAGTGTGACGGGCTGCTCGACGCTCCTCAGACGCTTGGCAAACATCACAGAGTCGTCCAGCATGGGGTCCAACGCACAAGCCTGAGAGGAGGCGGTGGGAGGTGGGGGGGAAGAAACGGTGAAAAACAAATTTAAACTCCCTTCAGACATGTTAAGAATCTTAATTACAGGATGAAGAGAGGGAGCTCAAGCAGCCCAGTCTCTTTTGTTCAGGTTTTTTTTTTTTTTTTTCCTAAGTCTCGCTGACTCACTTAAGGCACTTAAAAATCAAGGCTAGTTTCCTCTTCGTCATACAACATCCTCATCAAAAAGAAAGAGCAGGCTGTAACCTCAGCTAAACTGAACATCTCTCGAGACTTTTTTAGAGGGTTTTGTTTCCTCTCAAACTCTGATCACTTCTAAAACCCTCATTTTAGCACAAAAACAACTACTAGACGGTAAAATATGCATTTTTACCACTATGTGTACAGGCGGCAGCCCCTTCAGCATGCTGTCAGGAGCCAGAAGAGGCGAGCAAAAAGGATCCTTGACGACCGGAGAGCTCTGCATCCTCATTTCAGCGAGCTGCTCCGAGCGCAGCGGCTCAAAGCCCAGAGGGAACTCCCTGGGGTGCGGCAGCTCCGATCCCTCCTCTACGGCCGGGGGCGGGATGGCCACAGAGGACAGGTCGTCGGACATGGAGGGGTCACTGTCCCTGCAGAGAAAGAAACTCACGTCTTCTACCTACAGAGGAGAACAGAATATATATTTATCCCGTTTTGGTCAGACAGCTCAGAGGTCATAGAAAAACTGAAGAGGGTTTGCATTTTTTTGTCTTTTTTTTTTTTTTGCAAGCAGACAGCACTTTGTCCTTGTGAAAATAGAAAAGCATTGGCAAAGTGCCTGAGTCCAGGCTGGAAAAAAATCAGATTTCATGGAGAGAAAGATTATTTAATGTCTCACATTAATATAGGCTCTTTTTTTTGTTGCCAGAACTGTAACTAATCTCATCTCTCTAGAAGAGAGAGAGAAAAAGAACGAAACAGTGATTTTCAAAGTATTTGGATTTCTTTGAAGGAATTTTATAGTAAACTGTTGTGAGAGAAAATGGCATTAGCCGAGTAGCCTCTCGAAAAGGAGGCATGGAAAGTTTTCTACATGTTCAGAAGTTTACATACTCTTTTAAAAAAGTGCTAACTTTCATTTTAATCTTGGGCTATAATGGGCTTCAAGTTTGATGATTCTTTTCCCACTGGGAATTTAGTTTTTAAAACAAGAATAGGTGCATAAGTTTTAATTTAAGTTTTTATTAAACTCAGGGTAATAAATTAAAGTAGACTGTAATGTAACTATATGTCCCCATAAACACTTAGTTCAAAATATTGACCCTAATAAATCAACTCTTTGAACTATTACTAAGTATTATCATTTTTAGCCAGTTCCTTTACCTTGATGACGTTTTTCTGCAACTTAATAAAGTGCATTTTTCCAAATATATATTTAAGCTTGCCAGGATATTTTTGAAAACCGATGATGCGAGTTAAAACAAAAGTTCTTATTCATCATCAAAAATTAAAGAAAATGTTTCTTGTATGGTCACTGCCCACAGGAGGAAATAAAAAACAGTTCAAATTAATAATTAAATGAAACAAAATTAATGATATTCGTACCATGACCAGCAATACATCCCTCAATTCCAAACATGCTTAACTTTTCAAAAAGAGAAAATGAATGTCCAATTCCGATTACAATCAAGAGCAGAAGGACTTTTCTTCCCTTGTGAGGCGACTGCAACCGTCACAAGTTATCAGCTGTGCGGCAGGCCTAATTCCCACTTCAACCCCCACCAACACTGCAGTGTTGTGTTGAGCAACATCCTATTGTTTAATGGCATTAAAAATCGTCCAGAGAGCGAGCTAATCTCAACGTAAGCAGGTTTCAGTGTGACATACAGCGTGCTCAGACATCAGCGGGGAGCTCTGGGGGACGGGACTGCTGTGGGACTCCAAGTCCTGGCACGTCTTGCTCTTCACAGATAATTTTCTGCCGGGCAGCAGCGACGGCTCGTTGGGCACAGGCGGGTCGGCGTGAGGAGAGGAGATGGAAGCTGCCGAGACGCTTTTTCTCACTGTATCTGGGAAACGAAAGCAGAGATGGAGGATGGAAGTTACTTCACAAGGAGACTTTGTTTGGCTCGTGTTAAAACTTTACCAGTGAACATTTTGAGCCCGTCGAAAAAGTGTTGATTATTAAACTTTTTTTCACATTTTGTCACGTTACGACCACAAACTTCAGTTTAATTTATTTGAACTGTATTTGTGTGTGTGTTAGACCAACATAAAGTGGTACGTGACTGAAGTGGACGGAAAATGATTTATGGCTTTTAAATTCATTTTTAAATACTCTGTAGATCCACCTTTTATTTTAATTACTGATAGTTTTCTGTGGTTTATGTCTCCCAGTTTTTTTTTTTTTATTGCTAAACTTTCAATTTTACCCCTTTCTCCTAGCAAAAACTCGCACTGAAATAATTTGGAGAACAATCATTTTCGTTCCATTCCGCAATTATGCTCCGCTTTGTGTTGTCACAAAGCAATTTCAAGGAAAAAAACTCTGTCGTTGTCGGGTAACAAAAGGCGCATAATATTTTTCAAGGCACTGCAGTAAATTCACATCGGATAAACAGCGCTTGAAGGACACATGAAAAATTAAGCCAAGCGACTCAGAATACCTTATTTACTCCACTGTTTCTGATTTCCATGCGTTCTCTCTTTGACAGCCAACAGCTAAAGGCCCAGGATGCAAATTTGAGGCGCATCAGGAAGAGGAGAGAGGAAATGGGTGGAGGAAATCCAAAAAGAGCCGTCAGGGTGATATCATCTCCCCGCCCCGAGCTGTCATAACACCACCGTGTGCCGTCACGCCTGGTCTCCTCACAAAGGCCTACCCAATCTTCTATTTTAATAATGAACCACCTCAGCACTATGATGGCCTTTTATTAATATGCCTCCACCTATGACACTCCCATTAGATTCGGCTTGCCAGCTGTAAGACTGTCACCTAACTAAGGTGACACCAATAAAATTACATTTCCCCTTCAGATTTACAGCGGCAATAATTAAAAATTACTGTCAAGATACTGATATGAATGGCGCTACAGGATTATTACTCCACAGAGTGGATGAGGCCATAACTGGTTAGTAGGACGCTGAAGAACAGGGATCTACATCATTGACCTCCTCGATGGGGGATGTAAATAAACTCCGGCATAGTAATGCCACTTTAAGGGACGGAATAAGGACGGAGGAAATATGGGATGTAAACAGCAAAAGGCTTTGATTTTCATTCGCTGTGTGCAAACAAACAATTAAACCTCAACCTGAATAAAAACATTCCCTCTAAAGACAGCCACGATCACAGGGCCGCAGCATTTCCACACATTCATCATGTAAAAACCTCAGACATTTCTACACTCAACTTTCAAGAGCTCTAATTCATTCCATATTTGTTTCAAAATATAAAACACTAAAGTTCATTGTGAATTTATGGCATAGTTTTCTACAATAGCGAGGCTTTAAATATCGGAGCTTCAAAAAAAAAAACAGAAAATGAAAGGAAAAGGAAAAGGCAGGAAGGACCAAAGGGGAAGGGTGCAAGGATAAAAGTAAAATGAAGGATAGGGACAAGGACAAGAGAATGAAAAACAAGGAAGCAAGGGAGGGCAGCAGAGAAGAAGAAAGGAAAAAAGAGATTAAAGGACACAAAAGGAAATAAAGGTGGGCATTTAGCAGATCGTTTATCATGATGAATTTCTTAGAGGTACAAATCACACTTCTTTATATAACATTACAAAATTAATGTCATTTGTGTTTATAGGCTATAATTGCTGTGACACACACTGATGGTCATACAGTTACCTAAAAAATGTAATAAATAGTTCTTATCACTTTTATCATCATTACGGTGATGATAAAATTGATGGCCCTGCAAAAATATTGTGCTAAAACTTTAAGTCTATATCAAAAACCCTTATGATGAAATAAAGAATAACGTCTGATAATAGTCATTTTCTCTTTGTTGCATACGTATCCAGACCTGGAAAATGTGAGGAATTTGAATCCAGTTTTATTCAGACTGAACAGGAGTAACGATTTCTTCACGAGTTCCTAGTTTAGGTCCTAATGGCTACTACTCAGACTAAATATTAAATGAATTGGAATCCTTTACTAAGCTGCTGCTAAACTACTATAATGCTTTCACAACCCTCATTTAACTTTCAAATGTTTCACCCTTACTGCACACGCACACACACACACACACACACACACAGAGGACACACCGCTTGTCGGTGTATCGGGGGTTGCTGGTGTCGTCTTGGCAGATGTGTTGGAGGAGGCTGATGCTCTGTTGGGATCCAGCAGAGATTGGATCCAGTTAGAGGCTCCCTGTTGGAAATCCCGCAGCAGCAGGGCCGTATCTCTCCTCACCAGGCTCAACGTGCTCACTTTTTCTACCTGCTTCTCGGTCTGCGGCTCATTACCTGGAGGAGAAGACACCAGCAGAGAAGATGGCAAAGCAGCAATGACAGGAAACGCATGATCCAAGGAAGAAAAATCACTTTCCAAGGGGGTTCGACGCTGCTACCAAATTACCGGCAGCAATTCATAGACGGTCACATCGGGAGGGAAAAAAAAAAAAAAAAAAAAAAAAAAAAAAAAAAGGGGGTTTTAAACAAAAGCAGAGGCGGCGCAGCACAGGCGATATGTCAACATTTTACCTTGTTTTCTGCTTCATACAGTAGTGTACAGTTTGCCACTGCTCTCAAATTTTAAAAGAGATTTGAATCAAAATGGGTTTAATGACATTATTCCAGTGCAACTGAAAAGAGCTGAAGAGCTAGATGTCATATGGTGATCTTACAGCTGCACAAAAAACGAGTATAAAAGTTATCCTTGGTAGGATATAAAATATCTAGAACTTCAGTCTGATATTGCAAAGTTCACTTTGAGGAAATGATAACATATACATGCAAATGGAAGTTTTATGATAAAAATATCCTCTCATAAATCAAATAAAACACAAAACGTAGCAGAGCAAAGTGTCATCAAAAGATGAGAATCATCTTCTGTCATTCATTTACATAGATTTTGTCACAAGTTGCATTTTTTAATATCAGCTGCACAGTGATTTTATCAAATATTTCAAAAGCAACCCTTTTCACTATTCCAAGAGAAGTCATGCAAATTATTAATAATTTACATCACATCATTAGCAGCAATTCATCTTGTCCTAAGCTTGAGGTTTATGAGATCCATAAAATGAAACAATTCAGGACATAAAACGAACAAGCTTTAGTGCAAAAACCTTTCCAATACACTCATCAGCCACTTCATCATTAGCTACCACTGGCCAAACTTTCACTCTTAAACTGGAATGATGCAGTTGCAAAGTCGATGTTTTTTCCAATCTGATATTGTTCAGCTAGTTTGTGCGAACTACAGCTTCAGTTTCCTGAAGCGTTTCACCCGGTGAGGTCCGTCAGCTTCTGCCTCGACACGCTGTACGTTCAGAGACTGCATTGAAAGCACTTTGTAACAAGTGGTTGTTTTAGCTGTAGTATCCTTTCGATCATCTTAAATCAGTCTGCTTACTCTGATCTGACACCAACAAGGCATTCTGAACCACAAAACCGCTGCTCTCGGGATATTTTCTCTTTCCGATTATGCAGCAGATCTGCAGTTTCTGTAACACTCAGTTTGAACAAAAAAAAAACATCCTATGTTCAATCCCTTCAATCCTCTCCATTATTCCACATTCTGATACTCAGTTTGAACTTTAACAAGTTGTCGTTTTCAACGCATCTAGATGGCTAATTACAGTAAAATTCCTACCATGGGTTTGGCTCACTTGTAGGTGGGTTAATAAGCAACTAAGGAGGTCAAAAAAAAAAAAAAAAAAAAAAAACACCCAGAAAGTGTGGATCTTTGCAATTCTCGACCTTTAAAAAAAAAAAAAATAAAGTCCTCAGTACCGGTCTTTAAGAAATAAATAAACACAATCCTACCTGCGTAGGCACTGAGACACCTGGAGAGCACGCTGAGCGGCAGCAGGGGATCCATAAGTGTAAGCAGACGGGAGGGTGACGCGTAGGCCGTCAGCAGGGTAGCTGGGTAGGCCGCCACCAGGCCATCTGGCATTCGCACGCCAAAGGCAGCGGCGCGCATCGACGTGGTCACACACAGGTTGCCCCCCGCGCTGTCTCCGGCCAAACACACTCTCTCTCCGGTCCATCCTGTAAAGATTGAAATATTTATTCATGGAAAGGTGAAACAAAAAAAACAAAAAAAACTAAATAACTAAATAACTCAACCATCTTTGGAAGTGCAACACGGTCTTCACCGAACAACAAACAGATAATATGCGACTGCCAACAGGTGTCTCGTCGTTTGTCTAATTGCGGTGAGATTTTTCTGTTACAGGACAAACAGAAGACTCCACCGACATCACTGTTCATTAGACAGAGTGTGCTTCGGTTTTCAGAAGGGTTCTGTCTGAATATTGAACATTCACAAACTGCCGTAAATTTTTCAGCAGCTGGCACAGAGAAGCTCACAGCACGGTCAATTTTCAAGTGATAAATGAAGCCTTGTGGCAGAGACAAGCAGGTGAGGATGTACAGATGCACTCAGACAGCTTCACACTGAAAAAGGATTCAACCTTCATTTCCATTTTCTGATTGTATGATTACTCATTTACCAAGAAAAATAAAAAAAAAACCCATTTAGATCTGTGTCAATGTTGCGTGTTTAAAATTTAAGTTTCTATTTATTTGGAAGCGCACAATGAGGCCCAATAAAGCTGAATCCAAGTGCATTCTCGTGAGAATCGTGTTGTAATGTATACATGTAAATAAACGTTTGTTCCACTATTGTTAACAATGTGTGCATGCATAGTGGATTCAGGGATTTGTCTGACAGTTGTGCTTCGTCTGTAATTACTCTGTTTTAAAGGAATCGTAAAATTCAAAACGTTTCCTTTCGACTCTGCAGTGCTTCAAAAAATACATCTTTGTATTCACTGTATCCCCCTATCTGCCTCTAACATTCCTGACTTTGTTTTCACTTTGACATGCTCCATCCACTAGCAAACTTAATACTGATCAAAGAGTGTAGCCTCTTAATTATGTTCAGTCTACTAAATCAAGGTCGGTCAACTTTGCTTTAAAAGGCATCTGAAGATCACTGGTGGAATTAAGGCTCATTCGAGTTCAATGTTAAGCATCTGGGTACTTATGTAAAGAGGGATACCTCTGGAAAAGAAACAAGGGCAGATTTTGCATTTATGACATGAAGTGACCCACACTGAAATGTGGACACTTTAGAAATCTCTAAAACCGTTTCCAAAGGATAAGTAAAGCAAGACTGAAGCTCAACTAACAGGATTTTACACTAACAAATGTTGCTCCTTCCTTGACCTATAAACACAGACTGACCATGTACGATATATAAGCTACAGCTGCAAGACTATAATATCAAAAGGCACAAGAAAAAAAATGGATTGCTCGTCAAATTACAGATCATCTTAAAATAGATATATTTTTTAAACCAGTATAAATCAGATGTAGGAAAACCTTTTTTTTAGAGAACGTCAGAGGCTCAGTAAGTTAAGGTGAGCTTAATTCACTGATCCTTGTCCTACTGAAGTTGACAAGTTAGCCATTACAGTTTCAAGTAAAAATTACCTTGCTTCCCATTTTCTGTTTTTTTTTTTTTTTTTTTTTTTTTTTTTTTTTATAAAATTGTTAAAAGTGGAAATTTTTAATCCAGTCCACTAAGTTTATCAAATGGGCTCAGTAGTAGGTTAAATTTGGTTTAGTATGCAAGTTTATATCTTAACACTACATGCTGTCTCACAGTCTATACATGTCTGGGTTTGTTTTAAGAGTAAAATCTTACATTTACATTGAAAAAGGTTCGCTCCGGGTTCTTGTTTGGAAAGTTTTTGAATCGTAAAGGATGTACTTTATCGCCTACATTTTCTCCAAGGACTCTCACTCATATTAAGTGCCGTTTGGTAAAAGGGTCCAATTCCTACAAGATAACTTGAAAATCTTTGATCATCTTTATGCAAACAAGTGCTCCTCTCAGGAGAATTTGAGTGTAGGAAAATTTGCCTAATGTATAGGATTCTCAGTCGACTTCTCCTCCTCCTCCTTCTCCTCTGTGTGACTGTAAATATTAAATCAAAAGTCCACGGGAGTAAAACGAGCCATCAGAGGGAACTGTATAATCCTGCCCAGTATGATGACATTTAGTCTATTTTGTTTTCTTTGACAGCATGACATCAGCGAAACACTGCGGGCAGCTGATCCTCAGCACAATGTGAGAAAATTAACCGAAAGGCGTCATCTAGCCTTTTAGCTAGAAAAAAAAAATGTATTAATACACGTGTAAATTTTGTAATTCTGTGCGATGTGTGTGTGATGTATGTACCAAGTAGATGGTGGTTTCTTAGAGCCCAGCAGTAGGCATAGAAACACTCTTCAAGTGCCCGTGGGAAAGGAGCTTCTGGGGCCAGAGAGTAATCCACCGAAAGGATGGGAACACCAAGTTCCTGGGACCAGCTTTTCAAATAAGGCTGTGCAAAAAAAACATAAAAGCAGGGAGGGAGGTAAGACGTTATTAATAAAAGAGAAGCAGTCTATTTGCCAAATTTATTAGAGTCCGCAGTGGTGGAGTGCAGCCAGAATTAAGACACAAGGATAAAATGAACATTAAGTGTCCCTCTGATCTCATTTATCTGCTTTTTGGCTTACAGAACAGACAAAACCAGAGCAAGAGGCGAGAGCTGCCCTCACAGTCTCCTCCATTTGCCCTTTTATTTTTTATACAGCAATAAATGCAGATACTTGTCCTACTTTTCAGTGTGAAGAAAGCCAAGACGATGCTGTAGATTTACAAGGATGTTCTATATATTTTTTTTTTTAAATAAATAAAAAAAAAAAAAAAACGACTAGAATGCAGAGTGCTTCTCTGTATGCCTGTTACAGTCAGGTTAAACGTTTATTGTACGTACACAGTGACCCTGAAATGTGAGAATGGCCGTGGTCCCCTTTTTCTCTGTTTAGCTTCAATACTTTTGAGTTGCTGTGACAGTGCTTTTAGTCAAAGTGAAACATCTTCACTCAAACCGCCAGGGAGGAATGAAGGTGTGTGTGCATGTTTGAATGTCACACCACCAGCTTGTGATTTATCATGAAAAAATAAATAAATAAAAGTAAAATAAAAACAGCAGTCAGCTTGGGTGTGTTTAAGCCTTAATCTGTCACACTAAATCTTGGATCACAGCAACAGAGAAGTGAGCGAGCTTGCAGAATGAGCACAGCTTTGATTTAGGCGATGTGTGAATCAGTGAAAGGTATTCCTAAGGTGAGGGTAAACATTTGAGAACAACATTCCTTCACTGACTGGGAGTCTACAATGAGTTAGAACATGCAGCTGAGTGTGTGGCAAAGGTGTCAGTCAGAGGCAACACATCAGCTGCCTGCACAGAAAAAAAAAAAAGAAGAAAAAAAAAAAACCGCTGTGCATGCACAACACACAGCCCAGTGGGCAGAGAAGAGATGAGTGTTCTTGTTGAGGTGGGATAGAGGCTGTTTAATTTTACATGACTTTGGAAACTCTTCACACATATATACACACTCTTCTTGGGTTTCCGAAGAGGGAATTAATGAGAGCTCCGACTCACTTTCAGACAGGCAAAGCTGTTAATCTGCAATCCTTTAATGCTGCTACCCAACACTTGATGCTCTGCATAAATTGCAGACATCACATCTATTCTTGATCAGAACTTTAACGCACAATGAATCAACCACTGGCTCATTCTGCAACTGAGGTTGATCAAAGTCTTTTTTCTTTATTTTTTTGTTTTTGGCTGGAGGACATAACATGGATGTTCGGAAGGATGCAAGGGAAAACATTTGGTTTTGATTCTCAGAGAAAAACTTTTTTTTCCCCCTCGGCTCTCCCTGTCGTGTTCTTCCATGAGGGATTCAGACAGCCAAGGAAGAAAAAAAATATATATATATGAAAAAAAGTGGGAAGCATCAGTGCCAAAATGTGACAAAGGATACCGAGTGAACAAAGGATTGTCTGAGATACTGGCAGGACTGCAGTCAAAAAGAAAAGAGTGAAGGACAGTCCGACATGTCTTCCATTAGAGCCTGGGGTAATTCTTTCTTTCTTAATCCAACATGACAGCGCTCCGCACCCTCGCGATTGCTCCCTCTCATCCACAAACTACCATCCAGCTGCAGACTAAGGATGCCCATGTCCTTTGCAATTTCACAGAGCCTTGTCTTGTAACAGCTGTAAGTAGCTAAATACCGCAAACAGTCACAGATGGCCAAGTTGGCACAGGATGAACAGGATCAAACCATTGGTAACACAATTCTCTCTTTCATCAAGATGAGCTAAGCAAGTAATGCATGTGCTGCTCCTGTGGAGTTGCCGGTAATATAGCGCACACTTTAACTAGAAAACAAGCTCATTAAAACAGATCCAGGCTGGGACGGGGCTGGCTGTTGGATTTAAGGGGTAGCTTGAAGTGTAAAAGTTTGACAGAATAATGTCGGGTTTTCCCAGCTCCGATCTCGTCACTCCATCCACATGCTGTTCACACACACTCGTTCTGTAGCGAGACGTGCATCTCTGCCCCCACCGAGTGGCTCTTCTGACCTCAGAGCCCACTGATGTTGGAGAGGTTCAAAGAAGCAGGCAGGAGCAGAGCACAGTACGCAGAAGGATGCAGGATGTTCCGCAGCTTAAATTAGTGATGTATGGAGAATATGTCATCTGGTGAAGAAGCAGGACAGCTCAAGTTAAATGAAAGAGGAAGGTTCGCCGTTGTCTTGTTGACAGTAATGAAAAAAAAAAAACCCAAAAAACTTTTGTTTTTAAAGGGCTTTTGCTTGGATATCAGAAAAAGATGTAGAAGTTTTTGTTTAGCTTTGTGCCTCAGTTGGCAGAGCACATGCACCGTGTGCCGTTGTCCTGAGCTCAATTACCACTCTTGGATTTGCTGCACATCTTCGCTCTCTCTCCATCCCATTTACTCAATAAAGGCCACTATTGCCAAAGAATCCATAGGAAAAATAAAGAAACTTAATGGAGAACAGGGCAAAGTACAGAACTGCCCGTTCCCATCCGTTTACTGGCTCAAACAGTGTTCCTAAACCAGCGGTGTCTGGATCGAAGCTCGCAAACCATTTACCAGTCTCGGAACGATTTCATCCGACCAGCGACTGCAATTTAATTCAGGAAGTTGAGACAACTTTTATGAGTTATTGGTAAAATATTCAAATGGAATCTGTGCAAATCAAGATATGAATGATTATTAACCATGTCACTTTTTTGTTTTGAATTCCACTGCAAGTAAGACCACAAACATCCAGTGACTGTTAGTCAGAAGCTGACATTAAACTCTGCTAAATGGAGAATTTTCAAAGAGAATGATCCATATCCTGTTTTTGTTGAGAAGAGACAAAAACACATTTTTAAATTACTGGCCAAAAGCCAAAAGAGTTCATCATAAAATTTAAGAAAATCATATTCCTTTTTTAATACAGACACACACAAAAATCAGCATCATTATGCTTAATAAAAAAAAATGTAAAAAAAATCTTTGGCCTCCAAATAAAAGCTTTATGATTTAGAACCCCACAATCTAACCTTTTAACTTGATTGAAAGAAAGACGAACTCGGCTGTTTGGAAATATTGTCAGATACCAGAAAAATCCACTGTGACAGTGTGGAAACGAAGCGCCTCCCATAACTCTGCTTTGACACTACAGTTTATAACTAAGAGCAGGATGTTTGTAAAGCAGCAGATTGCAGGCTGGCTATCAGATGACGTGACTAACCAGCAAATGTTGTCCCGTTTAACTCCCGGCATTACTCTAGAGCAGAGTGGTAAAAAGATCTTATATTTAGCACAATAGGCAATTCAAAATGACAAAATTGTACAGGTTCATTCTATATTCTGGCCTAAGTGTTTGTATTGAAATCAAAATAAATTAAAACTGTGATGACACAAGTTAAAATTATTTTAGTATTATTTTTGATGTTTTTCTTGAGGTTATCAAACTGTGACAATCTGATACTGACCCATCAATCTGATACTGACCCATCAATCTGATACTGACCCATCAATCTGATACTGACCCATCAATCTGATACTGACCCATGCCTCGGACTGAGTCGTGAGCAGCAAGGATGAGGCCAGTAACTAAAGCACTAATATGCTGCACAGACAAAAGGGCAGCTCTGTGTGCACTTTGTCAGTAAAGAAAGCAAAGAGAGTGGTCAAACTTTCAATTAAGTTTTCATGGAATAATTACAACAATAATTAGCTTAACAGCTCATTACATGCAGCACTACTGACAGGGAAAGCGGAGTGGCAACCAATTGCCCCTCCGTTGTCAACTTGTATCTGTCTCTTTAATTATCTGGGGTTCGATACAATTAGTTTGAGTAAACACTATTGAAGGAATACAAAAGGTGAATTAGACTGGATGACTGCGCTAATGAAAGCTACTCAAATAGGGGGGGAAAACAACACTAGAGTAGCTAGTCTGACAGTGAGGAATGAGTGTGTACCGTAATGTTTGTAATTTATTTTGTATGCTACGTTTGCATATTACTTACCTTTTTTGTTCTAATTATTATTACCAGATCAATGTGCCGTGCTAAGAAACAATTCAATATTTAACAATTAAGCCATTTTGTCCTCCAAAACATTAGCTTAAAAACTAAAAAAAAATAAGTAACAATTATTTTGCCATTTGCTTTTGAACTGAGGAAAAGAAATACATGTTTTTTTTTTAAACAACTATTTCATGCAGGAGCATCATTTCACCTCATGGGACTTTGAGGTCTGTGCCACAAAGCCTCCCCCATGGAAGTGGATGAGAAGGCAGGGGGAAGAAGGGAGGCGCTTGGTCTTCAACCCCAGGGACAGAGAAATAGCACCTCCCTCAGATCGAGACAGAGATAGCAGTGTCTCGCTGTCCTAGAAGGGAAGAGAAAGGCGTTGGATTAAAAATCTAAACGTAAGTTTTGGTTCCAAACTTTCCCATTCTCTCTTTATAATCCTTGCCACACACAAATAAACTGCATGCATGGCGCTATGTGCTGCAAACAGAGTCAAATGTCTGTGCTGATATTTTTGCAGCTGAAGCTAGCAAGCAGAGCTCCTCTGAGAGCTGGATAAGCTGGTGGTTCTGCAGCAGCTTGTTGCCAACGCGTCCTGCGCCAGCAGAACTGCACAATAATTCCTATTTATCAACAGGAACAAACAGCAGGGACTTCTACTGCTGTAGGCTTGGATTCTGACAGCATAAAAGAACACTGTTGTCTTGTTGGAGCATTATCTCTGGCTTAAGATGTTTGCTGTTAGAATTTCTGGTTTATTACCAGTGAATAAAGAAAGAAGAACAAGCTGAAACGGAGACAGCCGGCCCCCGGAATAAATTCTTGCTTCTGAGGCAGAAGCAAGAAGTTCAGTTAAGAAAAGTTAAGTGATAGCAAAATGATGATGATGATTCAAGGAGGAAATCTGATCTATCAGAAAATCAGGACAAAACAAAAGTCAGATTCAGCCAATTATGAAGATTAACAGGGTGGATAAGTAAAAAAAAATAGAAGAAAAACAGCCATAAAAAAGTTTTAAGATGCCTAGAAACTTTTGCCAGGGTTTCTACTTAAAAAAAAGAGCTAGTCTCTTTGCAGCCATGTTCATTTAAACTTGAAGTTAAAAATGGGATTACCTGTCCTTCACGCAGCTCATAAGAAATGAGTCTCATCTGAACAGGAGCGGGGCCGATGTGCGCCGAAGGTGGAGCTATCGTTACAGACTCTGTGTGGTTTGTGGCTAGAGGAAGGTCAAAGGGCACAGGAGGCACAGAAAGCGCTCTGTTCACCTTGACTTGAGTAGAGGTCATACTGGCAAGACTCTGGAGAAAAAAAAACACAAATAAATGAATAGAAGTCAGACATGAGGTAGCAAAATCACCAAGGTAAATTGATTGGTCACTGGATGAATACGTCATGAAAAACAAGATGAAATGAATGTCTTCCACTATTACTACTGTTCTCTGGAATAAAACAAAAAAAAAGGCAGAAAAGTCATTTTCCTCAGAGAAGCATAGGATGTATAATATATGTGATGATAATTAAATTACAATGTCTCTCTGTGCAGTAAAATCAGATATCACACATTACAAATGTCTTACAATGAGTCCACCGTGCGTCGCAACAGGAGGACATTACCCACCGACAGGACCTCCGTCTCTGTGATGTTCCAGAAGGCCTTCCAGAAGTGTACATCCAGGTTCTGAGTTATCCGTTCAAACTCTGACCCCCTCAGCTCCGGGTCAATGGCATACTTGCCCGAGGTAAAGAAAGAGCTGGCTGCCACGCCTGGGAAAAGGAAGACGGTGGACACAGTGAGGAGGGGATGCATGGGAGGTGAATGTGAAGAACAAAGCAGAACCAAAACAATGAGAGTGTCTAGGGAATATGAGTTAAAACAAAGGAAATCAAAATAAATAAAATAAATGTTAACCAAAACACTGACAAAAATAAGGAACAAGTTACCGATGATGAAGGTCAAATACAGGAGGAAAGCAAATGTAAATGCAACGAGGCCACGGCAAACATCAGAAATAGAGAGACAGCTGGAAAAATTGGGCCTCATTCAGTAAAATGTATATTTGGTTCTCCAAAATAAAAATAAAATAATTTCAGGAAAGGACATGTAGTAAATAAACAGATATAATACAGGTACATCTCTATGTATTAAAATCCAATGCAAAAAGGTAACTATATTATCACACATGGAGTGATATGCATTTCAAGCATATTTTTTGATTAATTTTAATTAGACCTACATGAAAACCTCAAGTTTCTCAGGAGATTGGAATGTTAAGCAAGACCTAAGAATGGATTTTTACAACAGAAGTTATTTTGTTGTCTACACACTCACTGAAGGGAAATTGAATTTTTTCTGATTAACAGTTTGGAGTTTCATAAGCTGAACGCTAAAGTAAAAGAAAATAAGAGAAATAAATACTTGAAATACATCACTTCATAACTATTTTAATAGAGATGGACCTATAAATATCATTCAGGTAATTGAAATTTCTTGCAACGTAAAACAGAAAAACACCCAACACTAAGTTAAGAGAATAAAAATATTCAGGACGATAGAAGATATGGTGTAAAAGGAACAACTCAAGAGTAATGTTCAAATGTCTTCCAAGTCAATAAAGAGGAACACAATGAAAAGGTTCCAATAAACTCACCGTACGGTGCAATACCTCCTGCGTCCACTGAGGTGCAGCAGAGAGCACAAGAAACCATCAGAGTGGGGGTATTCCTTTTGTTCGTGTTAATTATTTATGTCTGAGTGCATGTGTGTATATCACAAGTTTGTATATGAATCGGTCTCTGTGCTTAACTGTGTGTGAATGTTCAAAACATTCTGAAATATACGAGAAACACACCAGCCCGCCCTTGAGATTTCAAAAAGGATGAAAGAGCATTGAAAATCCAAACACACAACATCAAAAAGGTGCACAGTCAGGGGCCAAGGAGGAATGCAGAAGAGATGCGAGGACGAATGAGAGCAATGTGTGCTGGTCGATGAGGCGATGCTGACCTATTCCTGACTTATGACGCTTGTAGTTTTCGCCAAAGGCCACGAGGCCGATAGCGATGGTCTGAAGACACGGTCGGATGGCCGGCGTAAACTGGAGAGAGAAAGACATATTATAAAAAAACAAAACAAAAACAAGTCACTTAGTCTACTCCTTCATCAGTACAAAGCAGAAGCAGAAGAGGACTGAACCTGCTGAAGAGGAGCAAATCTACCATTATTTTTCTTTTATTGCTGCAGCAGGATGGTTTATGTTTATCCATTTAGGATTAATTTCAATAGCCCGACATTAATCAGAATCATTGATTCAATATTTTTTGCTCTCCCTCTCTTTATGAATAATACTAGCAGAAGTATTATTCATAACCAGGGAGGAGGCACCCGTAACTCATTCCCATTCCCCACCACTTATTGCATCTCACCTGAAAACCCAGGCAGCGGCCATAGAAGCATCCTTTATGCATGGAGGCGTATTCCCGGACGAAGCTCTCGCTGAGGCCACTTTCGTCCTGGAAGAACAGGTTTCCGTGGCTGTTGTCGTGTAGCATGCACTGCGCCAGGTAGAGCAGGGCGCGCAGCTGACAGAGCGCGTTGCAGTACGCCTCTATCTCTCGCATGTTGTGCGCTACCCGAAAGAAGATGCTGTGGCGGTTGGCTGTGATGTAGCGCCCCTTGTGGACGATGTGGAGAAGACAGCAACGCACAACCTGAAAATAAGAATTTCAAGCAAGTCAAAACGTTAGACTGTTAAAAGAAATGCTTTTGAAGGTGCCTGGAGGGAAAGCTCAACATAACTTGTGGTGCGTCTCCAAACTTTCGTCTATCTAGAAAGTCAAAGTTTAGGTAGCAGAACAGTGAACTGAGAAATTCAAAAGCTGGTCAATAAATTAAACATAATTAGACCCTATTCACCAAATAGATTACTTTTAAAATACTTTCGAAGTTGTAAGTTAAATCATAGCAACATTGAAAGGGGATAAATATTTTGTGACCTCCTGCAAACATGTTTAAAAAAAAAAAGAAGAAGAAGGAAAAGATCTGCAAAAACCAGAGGGATCATAAATGTGGAAATCAAGGGCGATGAGAACAGAGCAGCATTCATTTGCCAAACACATTCAGTTATAGTCTGCTGCGCCAACTGAAGGTCATGAAGATTTATCGATAAGTGTCAAAGATTAAAATACATTGGATCCAGTAGTCGTTGGCAACTGTGCAGTTGGAGGATTCATCTACAACCCCCCCCTCCCCCCGATTTGCAACATAAAAATCAATCTCTGCAACAAATGTGCCGACCTTGAAACAAAGCAATATCAAGTCAAAGATGGAGCAGTTTTTCACCAGGGTGAGGGAATACTGATATGAATCTACTGCAGAGTTAAAGATTTTTTATCCTCCAAGCTGCACCAAGTTGGAAATAAGAAACAGGAATTTAAAATCGGACTCCTGCAGACAAAAAGAAAAAATAATAAAAATTTTAAAGCTTTGCGCAGCTTACCTTGACGAGCGAGCGATAGCCATTTGCAGGTATGTGTGGATCAAAGTCAAAATGTTGATAAACGGCAGCGAAGCCAGAAATAACAGGCTCCAGGCTGCGCGCGTGTTCCTGGATCAGTTTCATGGCCTCCACGAGACGTCGACCCGCATCACCCTGGGTCCCCTTGGCTCCGCCCGAGAAGAAAGTCACGTTTTCTTCACATACGCCGTACAGTGCCGCAAACACTGCCTGGGTGTCCATCACTGGAAAAAAAAAAGTACATGAAAGGGGAGATAAAACAAAAGGAGATTTGCTGACAACATTTCAGTGTCTGTGACATTTTAAGAAACTGTATAAATGTAACTCCTTTGCTTCACGTAATTTCAACAAAACTGACCAGCAGTGACATTTACCGAATGGTTAAAGTTCCAATCTCACCTTTCTATAGAGGTTAAGAGCAAGCCCATTAGTCTGATCTTGTGAGAACATCCAAGAGAAACACCGCACCCACTGGAATTATCCAACAAAATGTTCTTAGTCTGGATAACTAAGCCCCTGCTGCATGGTGTACAGAGACTCCTGGGATGAAATGTGTTAAACAAGGCTTGAAATGAAGCGACGTAAACCCAGGCTAAGCAGCTAAAATCCCCACAAGATCTGCATGGAACAGGAGGAGAAGGCAGAGGCTCTCTGCTAACAGGTCACTGCTGAGAACAAACAGATTGGCCAGAAACTGAAGGAAAAAGAAAGAAACACATCCAAACATGCTCATGAAAGAGTCCCAGAGGGAGGCGTGCAGCTGACATCACACTGCGTGGTATGTTTATCAAATGTGCTCATATCTCTTTCCTAATGAAGGACAATGATACAGCACTGTCTGTTCCTGCCGGACTGTGTTCCTCTGCCAAGTCATCCGAGACGTCGGCTTCCATGCCAGCTATGGGGACCGGCTCGCGGTTCCTCTATAGGCCGACTGTCATGCTGACACAGAAGAGAGACGTGCAAGACAAGACAGCGTCTCCACGCCGGCCAGAACTTACAGAAACAAGAACGAAATAATCATTTTTAATAAATGACCTTAATTAGTATGTGTAGATGGAGACACGAGTAGATAAAGGACACTTAAATGCGAGGCGTGTTGCGATAAATTAAGAATTCAATCTCACATATTTTCTAGAAACTTATTCTATGTCCTTAAAATTAACTTTAAATTCATTTTTGGGACAGATAATCTAAAGAGCTTCAAAGGTTTCAAAGTGATAATCTGAAAATTTGTTTTTTTTTGTTTTGTTTTTTTTTGAGTTATGCAAAAAAAATAAAATATTCAACCCCTTGGCAGATTATGTTTCGTTTAATTTTCATTAAAGGAAAATGACAGAAATCTCACAAAAGATGACAATGGACAAGGGTAAAAACAAAAATCTCAGTTTATAATTCACATTCACAAAATTGTAATGTTAAAGATAATTTATATCCTTCTCAATAATAAATCTAAAAGACTGTATTGCCATTACAGTAACCAAGTTCTTGCGATTTCTGAACTTTTTGAAAGCTTCCAGTACAACTTTGTCAATTCATCCTCTGGGACGAGCTCCAAGTCTGGTCAATTTACCATCATCCTAATCTTTAGCTCCCACTGCAGATTTTCTGTCAAATTTAAGTTAGACCAAGTCACTCCAAAAACTTTAATATTAATTAAATTTACAAACAAGGCACTCAATTTCAAAGATTTCTTCTAATCCAAATCTGTCAGGGGGTTATAAATACATCGGGGCTTAATAAAAATTTAAAGCAAAACTAAAAAAAAAAAGTCTGGATCTCTCTCATAGTAATCAAAGATTTTTTTTTTTTTTTTTACCTCCCAAATAACGAGCCATGTGGCTACTTATTGGTGACACAGATGAAGAATATCGTGAGCAGCTTTACTACAAACATGTATGCAGGAAAAGCAGGTGAGCTGTGTGGACGTAAACACAGGCATCTCCCTGAACCCACAAAAACATTTGAGTTTGTATTTGAAATTCATTTTGCCCTGAGATTATGAAACAGCAGGAACTTGTCATTTACTGGGAGGAACCAACCAAAAGCTGAGAAATGGAAACAACAGTTTATGCAGTGCAAACTCTACCACAGATAGCTACTGCAGCCACGCATCAGTTCCCCCGACTTCCTCCTCCTCCTCACTGGGTTCAAACAAACTTGCATAAAATCTTCTTGTTACGAACTCAAAATTGATCTGGAGACTCTGAAGTCACTGCTGTAATCATGGGTGAATACCATGCATGGACACCGGAGGTTGCCGTTAGTGATGCAACGTGGACGATCCTTGTAAACCCGTGGGAGCGTTTCGACCTGCTTCCTCACAAGCGCTACGAGAAGCCTGAACAAAGTTGGAAAGGTAAAGCGGTGAAAATAATATCTGGGCTTTGGAAAGGAAGAGTAAATTTAGGTAGATATTTGAGTTCACATTTTGGGAGAGAAGAGAAACGATGCTTAAAAGAGTGAAATATTGTTCTTGAGGCTCACAGGAGTAATTGAACCATAATGGTCACACTTATTTAGTTTTTCCTCCGGTTCACAATGACTAATAGAAGTAGTCCTTTCAGTTTGTCAAGGGAACAATAATACTCCCTTGACACCTGCAACAGGACATTAATCAACACGACAATTTCTTAGAAGCTGGAGTTTGTTTTCTGTTTTTCTTTAGGCAGGTTTTTAAGGCAATTCCACAAAAGAAGAAAATAAATCAGGTGCTACTTTCTGAGTAAAGAGTAGTAAACAGTCAGCACTTTGTTTCATTCAACTGTCAAAGAAAGAAAACCTGCTCAGATATTATTAAAAACGCTGCCAATATCTCAATATTTGGAACAGGTGCTACCAAGCCTTGGAAATATGCAAATGCAGAGTTCAGACAAGTATCATCTTGAAAACCTTTAGGTGACTGCTGCTCCTCCTTATAATGGAAAAACATTGTGCTGACTGTTTGGAAGCATTTGGAAGACATTAAGCTGCTGTTTCTATAATGGAGAGCAGTTGAAGTTCCCATACTTCACTTGGTATGAGAAAAGTGTATTCTAATTGCTTGGAAATTGTACAACAGTTTCTAAGCACGACTTCTACACACTTCATTTATATTGCGCACAAGTCTCTATGCAGATGTCAGCTGAGTCACAAACAGTTCAGCAAGCACTTTGTTTTTGCAAAAAAAAAAAAAAAAAAAAACTGACGCATGGCTCCAGCAGTTATAGTGCATCTGCTAAGAGTATGAAATGGCCCCGGAGTCACAAGAAAAAAAAAACAAAAAAACATTTTTTTTTTTTGGGCTAAATTAGAAGCTTAGGAAGACTTAGAGCAAAATTTTAGCTAGGGGAATATTCAGTTATTTGTTTGTACATAAATGGAGAATGATCAATTACTTCAGTATCATGTTTAATCAGTTCGTTTCAGATACTTTTCACATCAAATCAGCAAAATGAAAACATTTCTTTATGCAACACAAGCTCATCTGGTGATTTCATGGAAAACATTTCTTCTACAGAAGTCCTATTTTGCTATTCCAATCATTTCAGACGCTGACATGACACTTAAAAATAAAGTCAATCTAAGCAGAGTGCAACATAAGATTTCAGTTGACATTTGAGATATTGGAAGGTTTCCCACTGCTTCTCTCAACACATTTAAAAAGGACAAGTCCTACGTTTTCTTTCAGCAGTTCGGACTTTATCTTAAAACAGAAGCGTACTAAAACACAACGTGGACTGGCAGGAGTGAAATTACTTTGCATATTTTTGCTTAACAAAGTCTGAAAGATAGCAGACACACAGTGCGAGTGCATCATCTTGAAGTTTCTATTGACTCACTCTGATGTTATGCAAGCATTAGTCATATGAATTCATCACAGGGATCAATGACGAAAGCCTTTAACACTCAGAGCAGTTCAGCAGCTAACAACAAACACATGCATGGCTCCAGCCAGAGGATTACACACAGGTATGAATGTATAATATCTGAAAGTAAACTACACATCAGCAAAAGAGAACATCTATAGATAGGCAATATTCTGTGTGCATTCTCAGCAGGGTTGTGTTAAGTGGATACAGTGGCTGGTCCAATCAAAGAGTCACCCGAATGACACCACTGAAGTCAAACGAGCTTGGGCCGGCAGCCAAAATACAAATTACATAGCTTAATTAAAGCACAGGGATGCAACTCTCTCATCAACTTTCTCCTCTGAGCATGGCCTGATGTTGACAGAGTAAGCCAGGGATGAACTTTACGAACCCAGATCAGCATAAGAGGCTCAGAAACTTAATAACAATGAAGTCGGCAGACATTACAGCCCCATCTAACTTCAGCGAGCATCTCTCATGCAAATGTTATGCAAATGTAAAACAGTTAGGCGAGTTGCTACCATCTCATCAGAATGAAATAGACTTCACACTCTTTTCTTTTTTTTTCTTTTTGACATAATGCCTCAGAGAACAAAAACGTGCTTCCACACTAATTCCAGAAGAGCTGTCAACCTACTCATCTATTAGGAGAAAAACATGACTCACCTCCTGGCTTCTCAACTCTTTGGAGCCTTTCGGGCAATACAGGTGGTCAGCTAATGAATAAAGCTTCTTTTGTGCTTTAATGACAGAAGTGGTCAATGTAAGCCCACTAGAGCAACTACCAAGTTGTACCTTGTCTCTCCACATTAAAGATGAATGAAAGTGGGCATTAATAAGTCATGTACAACAACCAACACCAGCAACATTTCTGACAATGGCTCCTGCGGGGCCAAAAGAGACGTTGCTACTGACACAGAATATAAATGACTGGTACGGATTAAAATAAATAAATGTTTACCAGAATCTGAGTTCAAGGCTTTGTCCATGTCAGCCTCCTCTCTTCCATGAGAGCATTGAAAGCATGAAGAAAAAGAAAGGAAAAGATAAAGAAGAGATGTGTTTTTAGTTGATGTTGTGGATCTGCTGCTCCTGCGTCTTCAGTGCCTAGCTCTTTGGGTTTAATCTGCACGAGAGCATGCCATATTTCTAGTCCTTGGAAGCAACGTGGGTCCTTCTCTAAACTCCTCCTCCTGCCACATTTAAAAACACAGGAAATTTAGGAACAAACCATTTTCCAGTTAACCGTCTCCCCTGTGACAGAGGGCCGTGCTGCCATTGGCTGGTCAGCTTGCAACACCCTGTGAACTTTAGCTCAGTTGGCAAAACCTCAACATTGGCAGACATACAGCTATGAAAGCAAAACAGCATCTGAAATGTTTTTAATTTGATTTATATTGGATTATCAAAGGTCACTTACAGGAACAAGTGTAAACAAGTTAAATCACCGGTTATGAGATGATGATCAGGCAAAAGTAGTGATATCTTTTGAGACTTTACACATTTTATTGAATTACAAACACAAACTTTAAAGTATGTTCTTAGGATATTATGTATTACACCAAGATAAAGCAGATAGAAAAAGAACTGTTGAAAGAAAGCCATTACATTTTCTGTTTGTTCCCAACATGGCAGTTTTCTACAAGGCATGAAAAGCACACAACAATAATCTGGTCAGATTTTACAAAGAAGCAACTTTGTAGAGTAGATACCAAATTCTGCATGTGGCAGAATACTAACAATGCACCATGAACACAACTTATCCTTGGTGAAACATCATGATGGCAGCATCATGATGTGGTGATGTGGATCCTGGACGAGCCCCCAATTTGTAATGGTGTGGTTCACCATCCAGAAAGACAACCACCCTAAATATATTTCAAGAGCTACAATGGAAAATAATTAGAACGGTATAGAATGCAGTGAAAAGTGATTCTGCAACAGCATTATGATGATGATAATAATAATATTTTTAAATCAGTTATTTTCCTTCCATTTTAAAACTACGGGATACTTTGTGTTGGTCCATCACACTGCATCCAAATGAAATACATTGAAATTTGTGGTTATACTGTGACAAAACATGAAATGTTGAAGGGATATGAAAACCTATTTCAATTAAACTGACATAAAAAACAGCAGGCGAATGAGAGAACTATACCTTCTAAATGTATTATTTGTTAAAGCAAATACAGCTACATAAAGGTCAGTAGAAACAAGAACAAGAATTTGTCAGTGGTAATTACCATATTTGTACTAATCAAAAGTATAGGATAAGTAATTGAATGCTACTTTTTTTTATTCTACTCGATAATACTGTAACATTATACTTTTTTGGTGTCGACGTTAGACTGAGTTTAACTTTTAAATGTAGCATCTATGATCAAACAGATATTCCATAACAAATTAGAAGCAAGTGGAAACTCTTGAGAAATGTGAATGTTTACACAGCAAACACGTGAAGCCTTAAAAAAATAAAAATAATTTTACTTTTTCTCCTGTGGAAAGCATGACCTCAGATAAGACTTTTTGGCTGATACCACAGATGAGTGTTTCATAACTTGATGGAGAGAGATGTGACCTTTTGCCCAAAGACAGATGCATAAACACCACATCACTTAAGAAGCATGTTGTTTTCTGTTATTTTTACCAAACACAAGAGCATCCTTTCCCATACTAATCCTTTAACCATTTTAAATGGCGTATAAAAGATGATTTAATTAGTCACCATCAACCTGTGGCTCAGGTTCTCTCCCATTTTATTGTTTTATATTGTCTTACAAAACAATAAGACAATACAAAATACACAACGTGGGCTGGCAGGAGTGACACGAGCATACAGTCAGACTATAAAACAAAATGCTGACTAATACAGGTAATTAAGCTGTACATGCTGCTAACTAGTCTTAAAAAAATCACAGCAAGATAAAGTTTCAAAAAGCTTTATAATTAAAAAAAAAACTCCATGGCAAATATACCAAGGATGAAATAAAACCTTCAGAAAAAAAATTACCAACAAACGAGTCAAAAGCAAGATGTAAGGATATTTTACCCTTTACAGCATTAACTATTCTTTAATTGGTTGTACATTTTAACCATGAGACAGTTTTCTCTTATGGGTGTGGAAAAAAAAACCTTGCTTGACTACATTTATGGCAAGAATTTGAACTGTTTTCTTTCACTCGAAGGCCCGACTGAGCCTTGGTTATCATCAGAATTCGATGATGTGCTAACCTTGAACAGGCAATTCTTAAGTTTTAATTTTGTACTTGTCAAAAGTCTTACAGCAAGCTAATTGAGTAAAGCTATACCTAGAACATGAAAATGCCTCATTTATTCCTTGTGGAGTGTTCCCACCTGAGCAGTTGCCTCCATCAGCATATTTTCAGGTTGAAAGTTTAAAGGTTTGCTCAAACAAGACTTCTACTTGTCTTTATATGGTCATGTCTTCATATGACGGAATATTTTACTGATATTTTCTAAGGATACAAAAAAGTCTAGAACAGAAAGTATAGAATGTAAACTTTCACAATTATAGTTTACAGCCAATTCAAATCTACCATTCAGTTTTTCACAAATGTAGCAAGACCAATAAAAAAAAAAAAAAATAAAATTTAAGTCAGTTATGTTATGCAATCATGTGGAAGACTGCTGACTTTAAAGTTGTCCAGCAGACTGTCACACCCTCCACAGGGAGTGTAACCAAAAAAATGCCATTGCAAAATAAAATGCCTGCTTACAGAGTGCTGTAATGGAAAGCTGGGGGGAGAGAAATCCTGTAGAAAACTGTAGAGGCATATGAGATAACTGCAGCCTTGACAGAATGGTGACACAAAGCTCATTTCAGAGTTTGATACCAGCAAAGTCAGGCGGGTTACAGAGCTTTCAGGAGAAACAAACAGAAAAAGCAATTTTGCTCAGTGGTTCAGAGTCCGTTTTTCTGGTGAAACCAAATGTAGCATTTTACTTGGAAATCAAGGTTCTGGGGCTTAGGGGAAGAGAGACACCAGGTCCAACAATGCAGAGGAGCTGAAGGTCGCTGAACCTAGGCTTCCCAACACTTTGGGTAAGTGCCACACACTGATGGCATTCATGACAGCATGCCACACTGAAACAATCACACATGCAAAAGGGTACATGCAAGTCCATTTTTGTCCTTATGTTACATTGAAATTTACAGAGAAAACTAATCTGGTGTTTCCATTACCTATAAACCAAACTTCACTTTTGATATATGCTCCTGAAATAAATCTTTTTGTTTGTGTATTTTATTGAGATGTTCTTTATTCCTCTACTTTATACTCAATAAATGGGGCACAAAACAGAGGAAGAAAGGGACGAAATGATAATACAGAAGTATGAAAAGGGGGAGCAGAAGGAAGACTCTACAAGCCTGGGCATCCCAGAGAGTAGCCTTGCACTCACTGACATTGGCAACAACAGGAAACTAGTAACAATGAGCCTGCACACCCCCACCTAGACAACAAATGCATGGCTTAGTTCAATGGTAATCTAAAGGCAGCAAAATTAAAATTATCACAATCAGACCTGGTTTTATTAGGGCACCTTATGTAATAATAGAGATTAGGTGAAAAACTGGTAATCTAATTAACTGGATAGCTAAGGCTCCATATAATGGAGCCTTAGCTATCCAGTAGTAACAAATGGATAACTTAAGAGCTTATGAGAAAACATGACAATATTCTCATTGTTGTGGAGTAAAGGCTTCAAGCTGGTTAGTCTGGCATGATGCAATCAGAGTTGTAGCAAGTCAAGACAAAATGCAAGTATCCACAATGCCTTGCTACCATCCTTCAGGAGACTCTTTAATCGTCATTCTGAGCCAGCCTTCTCTGGTGTCATAGCAGTAGATCGCCATCTATTGTCTTAATAGATTTATCTACAGCGCTTTACGAGAACAGATAAACCCTTCTCATTCACATCCTACACCCACTGTTTTAATCTCATCCATCCAATCCCCATCCCTTTTACTGTCAAAGTACCTGCTGATCAGGTTGGCGCTGTCAGGGTCAGCTGTTGACATTAGAGATGGGAGACCTGAAATTTGCATATAAATACAGATGACAGCCATTTGTTATTGGGTAAAAACGCGATTACGAATATTTTTACTGGATACTGTCAGTACTAATGGGGATGCTCTTGACTACAGACAAAGCAGGAAGTGATAGTGCCTAAATAGGCTGTGTAGATATAACCTTAACGTCTTAGTTTCTAATCGACACTACAGTAAGTCAGTAGAGGCTATTATAAATCCAGCGGTGCTACCCTAAAACGGCTAACCTAGCTGCTAATATGTTAGCTGTAGGGGTGAAGACGTTCCGTTAACAAAGGGGGAGTCACTGCAAGGACAAATGCCGGGAAGCGAGGTGGCACAGCAGGGAAAAACTTACCAACAGGACCCTCTTTGAATTTGGATGAGCGTCTTCCATTCACAACTCTCTCCAGTCTGTTATTCCCTCCGCCCTTCTTACTCGACGCCATCTTCGCCCACTCTGTTTACGCACCGCCTCTCATATGTCCCTTCATACCTACCTGACCGCGCTGAGGCCCCGCCCACAACAGAAGTTCAAGCGAATGGAATCACGGTTGTTGAGTCCAACAGCCAATCAGGAGGCTGAAAAGTAATGTTGTGTTTTCCCTTATTCTAAAGGCACACTCCCCAGCATGCTTTAGGTGTTTCTTTGCATAATCATGATGTAAGGTGATGGCTGATTAACAGGTTTTATTGAAATGCAGTCATTTGAATTAGGTGTGTTAAAGCAGAAAAACACACAGGGAGGTGAGCCTTGAAGACCAGAGTTGGGAAACACGGCATTACAAATTAAAGAAAATTGACATTTTCATGAAATCTTGATGCATTTCTTTCTTTATTTTTTTGTTTAGCATTAATGTGTCCAAAATATAAAGGAAACCACAAGAAAAATCAATAAGGGTTAAATGAAAATTATACAAGCTAATAACTGAATAAGGTCACATAAATATGCAACTCAGAGTATATCACACTTTGACAGCAAAACTGTTAAAAGGCTTAAATGTCTAATTCTAAAACAGCTAAAGAAGAAGAAGAAAAAAAAGAAAAACCATAACATTTATTTTTAAAGACACGATGTCTGCAAAACAATTATTGATCATTTTGGACCATAAAATCCTTGCTGCAATCTTGATGGAATAGATGTTGTGTTAAGATTGCTTCAACGCTGTATGTCTTAATCCCAGAAGGAAAAATGTGGTTAGGCAATGCAAGTTTAAGAAAGCTAAAAATGTGGCTGCAATGTTCAAAACTTAATGTGCTGCAATCAAGAAACCCATTATGTGTCATAATCCAACCACATTTCACACAGCTCCCGAAATAGATTCTCTGCTTTCCCCCTCCGTCCACTTTCATTCATGGTTTCTCCAGGATTTCTTCCTTTTCTTCCATAGCGGTGCACACATCCTGGTACTGGCTTTGTCCCTGGGAGCGTTCTATCTGATCATATGTTGAACAGCAATCTTCAAGATTCAGCCCCTGGTGTATGGCATAATCATAAAAAATACAAATTAAAAAATGAAAGTTACACCACAAAACAATGAAACCTGGTGAATAAACGTGAAACTCTCTAATGATCCAAGATAAAAGTACATGTATATCTTTGTAGACACTCATCTTGACTACAGTGCCTTGAAACTGTAGTTTAAGTTTTTCACATGCACAGGCTAATGTGTTTTATTAGGATTTTTACAGAAAGCAGAGCAAGTAAGACTATGTGGAGTGTTTTGTCCAGCCCCCTTTTCTCTGATTCCTCTTAATAAAATGTCACGAGATATAAAAGGGACACAGAAAACATGTGAAATAATAGAAACCCAATTGAACTTTTTGGCCTATATGCTTAAAAACAACCTGAATATTAAGCTGAACACATCCCCACCAGGAACAGAATGTGTCAGAGTCGATGAGAATGTAAAACTTGGAAGAAAACTTGTTAGAAGCTGCAAAAACTTGAAACTTTCAGGGCAGGAGTTCGCCCTCCAGCAAGACAACTTGTTTGAAAGCAAAATGGAAAAAATAAATAAATAAAGAACAGTTTAAGCACTTTTGTGAAGAAGTAATTATTTTCACCTGATATATGTTCTCCTCTTCTTGTTTCATTTTTTTCATCTCCAGTTTGTTTTGTTTCTTTGACTGTGAGGGGGAAACAGAAAAGAGGCTAATTAACGGCAAAAGAGTTTTGACAAAAAAAAAAAAACAACTGTTGAGAAATAAGTAACTGAATGAACACAGAGGAATGATAACTATCTCTGTAATGTCAACATATGACAAGAATTCGATCAATCTGTGTAATGTGACTTTCTGACCTTAAACAGAAGCGAGGCGGAAGGAATAACCACACAGAGCAACAGCAGGACTCCTTCAGCTGTCAGGATCTTGTTTTTGGTGCTCTCACTGAGGTTTATTGTCTTCTCGATTGGCTCTAAACATACAGAGAAGGGTTAAACCATCATAACAGCTGCTGTGTTAATAAGAGATTGTTTGGTGGTGCATTAGACATTTTATTTACTGCTATTTGTTAATGGTGTTGCATGAATAATTAGCATTTGTAATCTCATGATGTAACAATCAGCTTCACTACAATATGTTGAAATTCAGCAACTCTTGAACAGACTAAGGTTAACAGGATTTGGAGCTTATGAGGTGTAAGCGGTGCTTAGTGCTCACTTGACTCCACTCACACTCACACACACGCACACGCACACGCACACACACACACACACAGTGGCATTGCTGATTGGATTGTCCTGCATTGTGCTCCCTCACCCCACCTCCCCACGCCCACATACTCACTGAAGACCTGCAAGTACGTGCCGTGCGAATAGACTTTGGTGTTGTTAAAATGGCACTGGTACATTCCAGTGTCCGTCAGCTTGACATTCTTCAGGATTAAGAAGACACACTGTTTGCCATTTGACTTGCTGTAATTTTGAAACACCTCTTCAGATAGGTTAACCGGGTACATTTGGCCAGTATACGAAAAGCGGTTCACCCAAGTAACATTTGTGTTTGCGGGTCCATTTTTGTAGCAACATTCCAGCTCAGCTCTGTCAAACAGCCTCACCCTCAAGAATGGTCTGTCTGGCTCTAACAAAATGTCTTTGTTAGAAGCAACACTACCTGTGGAAGAAGAATAAAAAAAATAACTTTTAGTGATCCTATATCCTGTTGGCTGTTTTTGGTCCTTCAGGTAAAAGACAAAGGACAATAAAAACATGAGAACATGTCGAGTTAAAAGCAGTTTTCTATCTGTCGGAACTGTAGAATGGAATAACGTTTACAGTGATGGAGAAAGTGTGATGAAATATGTAACAACACAAAATCTGTGTTAATTATCTAAAAAAAAAAAAGGCCTATAGGAATCGTACAGCTTTAGTTAAAGGCGTCAGAGGTCATACAGGCTGGCTGACTTCTGCTGTGCATTCCTCTGTGAAGCATGGCTTGTTCTAAACATTGTTACACAAAACTACTTTGATTTAAAAGTTGATTGAAGGAGAGGGGAACACAAAGTAGTGCAGGTAACTATGCAGCTTAACTAAAATGATCTCAAATACTTTGAAATTCAAACCTAAATTATTAAGAAGACAATGGAAACCTATAAACTGGATCAAAGACTAGCCAAAATGATAATGACTTATTGGCTTAGATGATCAAAGAAAAGCTAAAGTTACCTGTGACTACTATAAGAATTAGACACCTTTGTGAAGCCCATTCAAAGTCCCATTATTAAAGACAAACAAACAATAAAAAAAAACCCAGTATGGTCTGATGAAATGAAAGGAAAAAAACAGATCAACTAAAGAGAAATGATGCAACATACTATTATTTTGAGCTCAATTGGACGTTCAAAGGCTCTGGTAGGAACTCATTTTAATCAGCAATGGAATGGAATACAGGAATTTATGAAAATTTAATAAGTAAACAGAAAGAACGTAAATATTAAAATTGCATAATTTAAAAAGCAGACATTTATAAGCCCGTCCCTCGGCTTTATTACATTTTTTTAATTAGCTGCGTGAATTTTAACATTCTATGCTTTTATATGTTTATTGATCTCAGTTCTCATCATCACCTTTATTACTTTCCTTTGTCTGACATAAGCAAACCAACAGACTAAAGCTGAGAACAAAAATATGGTATCATCCTCACAGCAGAGCCATCTGTTCTGAGAGGAAACGTGGTTCACTGAAGCAGAACTAAAAAATAACTAAATATAAAGATATCATGTAGAAATAGAACTAAAATGCACACAACCTCCCCTTAAAATCAAGAGTAAAAAAAAAAGAATATTAGAACATCTTAAATGTGTGTTTTATATGTACTTTACATTTAAAAAATATTTCCAACCGAATCAAAATATGAAATATTCAATAACCTTCATAAATATGTCATGTGACTTACCCATCAAGCTGCAGAGGACAAAGAACTGAAATACTCCCATGTTTTATTTTTTTTAAAAATGTCGGACAATTAAAAAAGGAACTACTTTCAGGCGAAAGTCTCCTCAACTGTTCAACAGCTTCCCTTCTCTAATGAAACAGAGCAGCTTACTTGATCGCTGTCAGGATTCACGCTTGGATGAGTTTGGTCCATCCCACGTTTGCATAAAGACTTAGTCTGTGCACATCAAAATATGTACGTATGTAGAAGCATGGTCTAAAAGTTACTTTCTTACTAAGTTCCAAGTTTTTTTTTTTTTTCTGCAACAGACCATTATAAAACTTATATGGTAATTACAAGGTTCCAAAATTATTTAAATTTACCACTATCGCATAACAGATTTTACAATGTCATTATTCATAAAGTTGAAAACCAAAGCGGACCCTTATTTCTTCTAGACAATATTTAGGAAAAGTATAAGAATCAGAAGACATAACATAGTACATAACATAACATAACAAAATGACAAGTTGGAAAGACATTAACCAAGATCACCACTGCAGCTTTCCTTCACCACAGAAGAACTTCAAAACTTTGCAAACAAGTTTGCAGAGGGAAAAATTATTCACAAGTGGAAAACATTTAAGATAGTTACCATCCAGATGTGGATGTCCCAGTGATTCACCCCAAACTTAAACCAAATCACTGCAAAGAAAGTAATTTTAAAAAACAGGGTACTTTAGGAAAACAGAAGTGCTGAAAACCAATATCTTTGGACAAACAAGCATTTTTGGCAAAACAAGAGTAAACCAGCACAAAATGCCTCAGACAAAGACTGCAAAGTCCACTTAAAGTCAGAACCGGAGCGGTTTGAATTCTGTGATGATACTTTAAGAGGGCAGGCACTGCAGTGGGAAATGCTGCTAAAAGGAAACCAGTGCCTGGGCTGAAATCCCTACATCACTATATGAAACTGATGGTGATACAGATAGAAAACATCAAGGTATTGTTTCTAAAAACATATTTCTAGTAGATACTGAAACATGGAATGTAGTTTTTTTTTTTTTTTAAACCATCATCTTTGTATATTTGTTAACTGGAGTATGGAATATATTCTGTTTTAAACACCCGAGGATAGATTTGAACAGATTGACAACTTTTTTAGTTTCTTGAAATGTAAAAACTTAAAGTAAAAAGCTACGAATATAACTAATAAACAGCATTAGTTGTTTAAGAAGCTTTGCTCCTATCCAGTTAAAAAAAAAAAAAAGATTAAATGTTTGCACAACATCCAAAGAAAATACCATTTTTCTTTTCAAATATTTTTGAGGCAATTCAAATCTGGATTTAACTATAAAATAGTGTTGATTCTTCTCTCTTATCTGCTCACATTGCACACTGCTTATGCAGACTGTCGCCAGTCTTATATCTATACTTAAGACTGGCGACAGTCACACAAACAAAACCGATTAAGTCAGACCAACAAACCTTAGAGAAGGTGCAGAATGAGGAGAAGATAAAAGCAGACCTCGTGCTACAATCTTTGCTTAACTTTGTTTCACCCTTAAGGTGAGCCGAGTGGAGCCGGCGCTGGATTCCATTTGCATGATATTTGATCATTTTCGGCATTAAAGCCTTGTTTTATGCTTTACCAAATTTCATTATTTCTCAAGGTTCTCTGAAGGTTATTTTTTTTGTTTTTGTGAGGTCCCAGAACTGGTCAACAGACCCGGTTGTTACACAGAAGAAGAAAAAAATTGCAGCACAACAATAGCAACACTTTTTTTTTTTTCATTTTATTTCCCCACTTTATTTTTAAAAAACAACACATTAAAAAAAAAAAAAGAAAAAAGAAAAAAAAATACACAAACGTACCACAATTTTCCTTAGGTGTACATCTTTTAAGAGCCTCTTACAGCATAAAAATCAATACCAAATACACAATATAGTTCTCGATAATCCTTTTTTTTTTCTTTCTTATATGATCAACAAGCTGGGAGAAGGAGCAGTGTGTTTGTTTAATGAGGGCTCTGGCTGTCTGAGTGGGCTCAAGTCATAAGGATTTAATGGAGTTTGAAACAAAAGGGGAGGAAGTCGGAACCTAAAATATAATTACCATAAATATGAGTTAACATTCTGGGATGTTGATTAGAACATTACAGATGGACTAATTAACATTCTCGGATGATATCTTACTTCTTATTAATCATTTAATTAGTTGTCTTTTTCTTTCAAGCCCTTTAAGAAGCAAACAAATAATTGGACAGAAGAAGGCACCACTATATAAACACACTTTACACATGGTATATAGAAAATATGAGAAAAAGCATCAAAGAAAGGGAGGAACAGGGAGAAATGTCTGTAATGGTTGCCAGCCAATGAAGCCTGCAGGCATCACGAGTGCTTTCTGAGTTTTGCAATCAGATAACGAGAGTTCCAACTAGTGAAAAAGCTGCATTTCATATCAAGCAGCAACACTTTTAAATGTTAACAGAATCTGTCATGGTTAGATTATTTGCATGTTTGCTAAATTCATCGGTGCATTGACTGGTTGCAGACATTCCTCCCCATTTTACAGAAACAGGGAAATGCATAGCACATCATTACAAGAGTTTATTTAAAAAGCAATGAAAAAAAAAAAGTAATAACATCCCCAACCTATTTCTAAGTACATTAAATGAAACTCCTGGTAAAACTATGAAGTCGGGCAAAGGGAAACATGCTATGAAGACAGATAAAGTGCCTTCAGACTATCTTTTACTGCATACAGTTTAAAGAGGAAGACATGAGGGGAAAAATGGCAGTATAGTTAAAAAAAAAAACAGACATGATTCTGGTTCTTGTGGCACTCAAGTGACTAAATGGTGTAAATATATTGAGGTTCAGTAGGTTCAGAAGGTAGGATCTGTTTGTGGCAACAATGAGAATGCATATCAGGAAGTGATCATGATTACAGTGCGACATTGGAATGAGACAACAGCTTTCCTTCCTTCAAATCCTGAAAGTGTCATTTGTTACATTGTCTAGTTTTAAGCCGTCTTTCTCTGCAGGTCCCATGCAAACAGTTTGGTAACAGATTCTTAAACAGTGCTTGGCCTCTTGCAGCTAGATTTCTTAGGCACCTGAACGATGGTTAGTTGGTTAACGTCACTGTGGTGTAAGCAGGATATCAGAGACTTGCAAATACTGCTGCAATTTGGTCATAAAGCTTTAATAGTCCTAATAATATTTACCAGTACATTCATTTAGTATATCAACTGTATTTCTTTTTAATTTATTTATTGAAAAACACTTTTGCCACTCTCAAATGTGCTTTGTTATGTCTTTGGTCCTGTGTGCACAGTCTCAATCATGCCGCTACCGAGGAATTATACTACAACAATTATAATTACAATCAACTGCTGAGTAAAATACAAAGGCAGGAAAAGCGTTGATACAAATATCGCTAGTTGGGACTTTATAACGAATAATATACGCATCTAATGTCATATAATACAAACCTTAACCCCAACTGAAGCATGTTTCGGATCAGAAGTTGCAAACTCTCGATGCTGCAGAAACGGCGCGTTTGTGAACGAGTCTGAAGTTTCTGGGCGCTTTTCAGGTATGAGTTCAGATTTCATCAGCGCAAATTCTAAACTCAGGTTCTCTCTGCGGTCCTCTCCGTGACCTTCTATCAAACTATCCAAAGCCAAAAATATAAAAAAAAAAAAAACCTCCAAACATTCTTCACAGGCCTGTGTGTTTTCTCTCTTTCCACCTTTGATGTGCATTACATATCCCAGAATTCCTTCTGCAGCCTTGTCCAACCTTTTGCACGCCGCTCTCGCCTCAACCTGGCCCAGTGTTGTAACAGTATCAGTAAGATGAGGCAACTCACTGACCTAAAAAAAAAAAAAAAATCCTCAGAGGAATAAATAAAAGCAGTACATACAAACACGACTCCATTATCAACAGCATGATTGCCTATAGTGCCGCTATTCATAAATGTTTTACTGAGAATAACAGAAAGGAAATTCCAAATAATAAACACGTTCTCAAATTAAAAACCCGGTAACACACATACACACACTTTCTTGCATGCATCCTTCCGATACAGAGGGCTGCTTACATGAAGCCCAACTGATGAAAAACACGTGCTGGAGCAGAGTTTAAATAAGAAATTTTGTGGTTACAGTGTGTTTTTAACTCGTCTTGATCAGGGGGAAAAAAAGTGCATCTTTGTTGTACTTTGGCATAAACTAGAAACAATACATACCAGCAGTTTTTTTTTTTTATTTTTCTAATAATCCTTCTATTGCTACATTACCCTTTGAGGGTTTGTTTTTCCTGTACATTGCTATTCTTGGCATTACTGTCAATTATGTTCCAGCATACATGTCTCGGGTGTGCATATGTGTGTTACAGCAGAAAGAAAAGATTACATTTCAATAGGCAGCACGTCTCTCACACCAAAATATTGCTTCATTACTTTTGGCACCTCTCTGCAAAAACAACCTCCCACTCAAAAGCAGGATATCTCCTCTTTTTTCCTTTTCCTCCATTCCATACCTTTGTTTCAAACATGCACCCAAACAGACAAACGCACACGCGCACACACACACACACACACACACACACACACACACACGCTCCATCACTGAGCACAAAGCCACTACACTCCTCTGGCAGACGGAAAACTTCCTGCTTTGGCAGCAAACAGCTCTGATACAAAGATATAATAGTGACAGCTTGGATCCAGGCAAGAAGTTTTTTTTGAAGAGGGGAGGGGGGTTGGGAAGTTCCAGGGAAGCCTCTGAAAGTAACGTTGTTCTGAACAAGAGCCAGAAGAAAACCTGAACACAAGGACATATGAAAGAAAGTAACAAATATTATGTAGTTGAAGAAACAGATAATAATCAGAGGCTTTAGTTGCAGAGGAGACAGGTTCTCAAAATCTTTACCATCCTAGTTTAATAGCATCTTTTTCCTACTCAAGATACTTTTTTAATTAAAAGAGTTTGACTTCCTGGTGTTTTTCATTGTAATTTCATGTGCAATTTTGTTCTTCTGCAATCCTAAAGCCAAAGTGAATCTGAGGCAGTAGCAATGTGTATGTGAAGAGACTTAAACTTAAATTTAATTAACATTTCACTGGAGCAGCATAACTTAAGAGAAATGCAATATTCAGGAAGCTCTGAATATATATTTTTTTTTACCCCAGTTAACATTCTTCTGTTCAAAACAGCCAGCCTCTTTTCTCAGTAGTTTCAAACTTTTTACTCGTTTCTCTGAATGTTGAAATGGGGAAGTGAAGGCAAACACTGGAATAGCATTACAAGCTGCTATTTAGACGTTTTATTTTATATCACTATAAACTGTTATTTTAAAAATCAATGTATCTTTAAAAACTAGTTGTGTTTGACTTGTATTTTATGTTTTGACATTATTACTGTTATCTTGCCCTGATCAAAAACAATAACAGTGTCATTTGTTTATTTTCTGAGCTGATGCTAGAAATGAACACAAAGTTTCAGTTTTTCCAGAGAATTTTAAAAACTAAAATTCTCCTTTTGAAAACACTTTCACATAAAAGAGAGAAATTTGCAGTTAAGCATTTATCCTTCTGAAGCAAAAGCTTGCAATCTTAGAAAAGTGCCACCGCAGTAAAATACATTCATGTTTGACAGTTTTTTCTTCCCCCCTCAAAAAGCAGACTTTTGATCGCCTTATTCACACAGTAAAACACACATAAAAACACCTGAGGGTAAAACGTGCTAATTGACTGAATTCAGGGATCTAGTTTGGCTTTCTCACCTTGTCGCCAGCAGGTGGCAAAGTGGCATCTTACTGGAAGTTGGCGCCTTCCAGCGAGAACTCAGAAAGGACCTCGCTCAGCTTGTGATGCTCCTCTTCCACAGCCTGAGACACAGAAAATCAATATCATCTCAAGAATTGAGAACAAACTCACTTACAGACACACGCAATTCAGCCTCCTCCTCTTAACATCCACCTTTTGTCTCCCTCGCTGCTTCCCTGACACATCCCATTGCGTGCGCCGGACATAATGGCCATTTTTAGACAAGTCCAATTTTACAAGGCAATTTTCAGCAAAGCAGTAACAGCAGTGGTTAAATGGTTTTCTATTCTCCAGTTTCTCTTTGCTACCATTTGGCCCTATTTTGTCCACTGCTCGCTCCTTACTTAAGTTATCGTCGCTGAAATGGACAGCCACGCTGTTCCTTTCCACTCGGCTTCAATCTTTTCTCCTCTCACATCTTTATCTGCCTCCGTCATACAATCTGCTCTCCTCCTGAGACTCCCATTCATCTCCCTCCTTATTCACCTGTAGTCTCTGTATCATTTGCAGCAGGCTGTCCAGCCTCCTGCATACTTCGTCCCTTCTCTCCTGGGACAAGACCAGAGGGGCACTGATGCTCCCGTCTTCATCTTCTTGTTTTGCTCCATCTTCCTTCGTAGAAGGACTGGCGTTCACCTGCATGTATCCGCTGTCCGTACACTCGCTTTCTTCTGTTATTGAAAATGGCTCGGGTTAGAGATGGCAGCTCACAGTTGAATCATCTGAGCAGTAAAACGTCTTCAAATCCTTAACCTGCTGGCTGAGGGGCCTCCGTTTCATCAGAAGGCTTCTCCGGTTGCTCCTCTTCGTGTTCTTCCTCGGGCTGCGAGTCCTCTGACAGACTGATGCTGCCGATCAGCAGTCTTTTCAGTGACATGACTAGCAGAGAAGACAAATTCAGCAGTTTGATGAGCACTGGAAAGCTAATTTTGGAAAACAACAAAGAAGTATGAGCGAGACGACTGATCACCTTCATCCAAAGCGCCGTCAGCCACCTTCTCCTGGTTCCTGCTGGAGTGATCCAGCACATGAACGAAGCCCCTGTCGGTCAACATCTCTATCAGCTTGAGCCCTCCATGGACAGCGGTGTGACCTGTCACACTGTCCCTTTCTTGGTCTGGAGACGGACACAGAGATCAGCTTTAGCCTTAGAGAAATCTAATGAAGGTACATTTTTACTAATCCTGTACATTGGGATGCTCTAATGTGGCCTTACCACTGCTGCCTCTTAAACTTCCATTCTCAGATGGATTCAACGGGGCAATGAGCCTGTGTGAAAGAAAAGAAAAAGGGGTAAGTCTTTCTTTTTATTCCGCTTTAGCTTTTGAACATTTTGTAACACAATAACCCCAATCTTTAATGCATTTGTCTTAAAACGTTTCCTATAAATTATGTCAAACTAATCTAGACTACATCTTCCAGAGATGTCGGCCCTTAACCTCATGCTAAACCATAAAATACTGAAGCTGTGCTATATGTTTATGGGAAATATGTCTACAGTGGGAAAATGTATATCCAGTCTTTAAAAACAAACAAAACAAACTGAATATGGACAAAAAGAGAGAGAGAGAGGGCACAAGCAGAAAGGTTTGACACTTTTCCAATTTCCATCCATAAAAAAAATTCATTAAAAATTCTAACAATTGTGAACTACTTTGAATCTTAAATCACATAAAATACAAAAAAATGGACTGAAGTTTGTGGTTCTGTAAAGGGAAAATATGAAAGTGTGTGTTTTTTTTTGTTTTTGTTTTTTCAAAACAAAAGCACATACGTGGTGGGACTGAGAGGAGTCACCCCAACTCCATGAGGAATAGATAACCGCATGGGTGTCCCATTCTTCTTCAGAACTTCAACCGTTGACTTTATTATATCATGCCAACTGAAAAACAAACAAGCTAATGAGTTCCTCATCTTTAGACTGAACACTTTTACTCCGACAGTAAGCTTTAACACTCACGTTTTCATTTCTGCAACAGACTGAGCCACCAGCTCGTAGATCTGAGCACCACTGTCCCATGTGAATATCACATAAAAAGCCTTCCGATCTGACAGAATAAAGAGATAAAAATGGAAATTAAGCAATTTTAAGATGTACTGGGAGGACCTTTACTTACTTGCTACAAAAACTAACCTGTTGCCACTTCACGGAGGAAAACAGAGTCCAGCTTTATAATTGGGCTCAGCATCTGCTTGCCCTCCTGTGCAGTCATGTTACTTTTACTCTGGCATTTTAGCAACATCTTGTCCTCCTGCTTCTGTGCAAGAACCAGCATATCGTCCAGCAGCAGGCAATGCACATCTAAGAAAAAGAAAAGTTTTCAGGTTCACAAAATGTGTTCTCTGCACTTTGTTCTTGGATAGTTTATAATAGCTATTTATTTTTTTTCCAATACTCACTGCAGTATTTTACCGATTCGAACTGTTTAAAGCCAGTAGACTGTTTTAATCTATCAAGTGGTTTTACTATTATTACACAGAGGTTTACGCCACTAATTTAAACTAATATAAAAGAGGAAGTCAAACTCCACCAGGTGCAGTTCGGCTGTGTTTCCCATAAATTTAAATGTGCAAATATCAAAAAAGGGAAATGAAAAAATTGCATTGAACATCAGAAAGGCTTAGAATATGACTGTTTCCCTTTGGACACAATTTATTTCATAAATTAAACACTCCATTTTATATTGGATTAGCATATTATTTTCAAAAGTTTTGTTCCAATACATAGTTGTATGTTAAATAATAGTTCAGCCAAATGCTTCATTTATGACCTTAAAGATTTCTTTGTATTAAATATGTGAATTTATTTACCGATAGCCTTCTCTTTGGTGACTCTCCAGACCAGCGGACCTTCAAAAAGCATCTTCCTCTGAGTCAAGTCAATGCTCTTAAACGGACAAAAGAAAAGTGTTGAAAACAGCCAAGATAACAAGACCAAAAGAACAATAACTTAAAAACTACTTTTTTTTTTCTTTTTTTTTAAAGTAAACTACCTTATATTCAGCATAAAGCTCAACACTGGCTTTCAGCCCCGATGTGTCCAGTTTTTTCTGGTACTCCTTTAGAGTCTGGGAGCAAAGACAGACAAAGATCAGATTTCTGTTTGATAAGTCAACATGGAAGCAGTAGGAGTCTAACAAACAGAAACCTTCACAAGACTCCAACAGTTGTTCGGTAACAACGGTTTATTGAGTGATGATTTATGGGGTTCTTACCAACATGTTCCCCATTGTTTTGACCTCTTCATTGACATGGTTGAGGATCTTTCTGCAGCACTCTGCGCTTTGCTGGATCGACTCCTTCTCCTCTTTTTCCTCTGCAGAAACAGGCAGAAAACGGAGCCGAGGTCAGCTTTCACAAAACAAAGCAAATGACTTCAGACTTCAGTCATAACAGTGAAATCTGCAAACATTCAACAGCTAAGTTCAATACTGATAAAACGGTTAGGTTGCTCTTTAAATGATTATTTACTCAGTGGAATGAAATAAAACCCTTGTGCTTAAATTAACATAGAAAAGTGAAACTAACTGATTTATTTGAAAAAGTCATTTCCTAAATGAGTATAAATAATTTAAATATCTGCACCCAGTCATAAATAATACAGCACAACTTACTGTCTTCTAACAACACTTGATGTTTTGCAAAGCAAAGCTTATTAATCCCTGTTCTAAACATCTTTAAGTAAATTATCCATGAACTAATTAGAACTTTCTCAAAGCTCTAATCTTTCTAATAGAGCTATGTAATGAAAATGTCTGCCATAAATTTTAAACGACCAAGTTCTGTATTTCAAATCCGAACTACTTTTAGAGAAACTTGAGTAAAAGTTGAGTTTAATACAAGAGATAGAAATGATAAGTTACGGGCACACAAACACAAACCTGTGTTCTTTGCAATGTTTTCCAGCAACAGTGGATACTTTGTTAGCCTCTGCATTTCTGTGGGAATAATGTCTTTGAGCTGCAGTCTGCGGCACTGGGGTTTACTCTCTGCCTCCTGAGGTTCAAGCACACACACACACACACAGTCAGAGGAATGCCACTTACAGCTGAAACCAGAAATTTACATATACATAAACAAAAAAGCATTTACCCCACTCTTCAACATTAAACCATCCTAAACTTTCCCGTATTTTTGCCCAGTTAGGATTACCAAAATGTCTGTTTGCTAAATGCCACACTATTGGCATCATACAACTAGATTGTGGAACCAAAGGCGCGTGGCCTACACGGTTAAATGTTAACCTGTGCAACATGGGTAAAACAAACACGAAGGATCCCTGCATGCTGTATCTGCTGTGGTCTCAAATGCATTCAGGGTTTTAAATATAAGCAGATTTGCTATGTGATGTCATCAGCGTGTTATCTGCATCAGACTCCGCTGACGATTTTACAAGATTACACGGACACTCTGAAGTCCCCTCCGTCTTGATTTGTCCTTCAAATATAACAGGCTGCTCTGTTGTGTGGGGTCATGGGATTAATCAAAGGAAATCAGCAATAATTTTGAGAAGACAACTGTGACATAAATAAGTCTTGATTTATCCTTTGAGGGTGACCAAGCGTGCAACTTTCATCTGTTCAAACTACTATATGCAAATATAAACACCATGTGAACATCCAGCCTGTGGACAGGCAGAACATTCAGACTGCCTACTGATCTCTTGGACCCTGGGTCAGTGTGTTTTGGTGTAGTGAGTAAAACTGCTGGCCAAAGCTGAAAAGAAAAAAAAAAAAAATCGCCCGCAGTGAGATGAGTCCCATCAGCAATGGCTGAAGAAATCATGAACTAAAACATCAGTGTAAAATACAAGATTAACTTTTCCAAATGTCCTCACAGATAAAGAAAATTTGTCCTGTGATTTGGTGAGACTAAAGTTGAAGAGTTTGGCCACGCTACCCACTTTTACGCTTAGAAGTAACATAAGAAAGGCTTGAAAAAGTTCAAGAAGCAAATCTCCCACTGTGGAGCATGGCGGTGGTGGCGTCACGCTGTTCCGACACATTTACAAAAAAAGACATCACGAGAAAAGAAGATTACGTGGAAATACTCAAAACTTTCCCGGACATCTGTCAAGCTTGGGGACTAGTGGGTTTTTCCAAATGGACAACGACTCCAACCATTTTGATAAACTATTTGCAAAGTGGCTTAAGGTCAACAAAGTCAAAGTTTTCTAGTGGTCATCACAAATTTATGACCTCTCCCCATAGAAAATCTGAAGATAGTGCTGACAAGGTATGTCTGCTATTTTTATACAATGCATGGAATTTCTTTGTACGCACGTAAATCTACTACATTTTGAGTAATTTAGTTCGGAGTCATTGCGGTACCTGTATAAAAGCGTTAAAGCGAGCGTCTTTCTTCTGTCTTTGCTTGATCTGGTCCAGAGCATAGGTCTGGTAACTGCAGAATCTGGCCGTCAGTTTCTGAAACCATTCTCCTTCGGGCCCACCAAACTGAAACACACACATGCAAACAATGCGTCATGCAGAGTGAAACTGAATAAATTAGAGAAATAATGAGAGAAATCAATAAATACAGAAAGGCAGGATTCATTTACCCTGTTGAGCAATGTGGGGCTGATGTTTTTAACAACGTAGTTGTCACTGACACGCAGTTTCTTCAGGCTTTCATAGAAGGTATCTAGAAGAGGAGACGAAAACAGACTTGCGGTCACCAGAACACCTCTTTCATACTTCATTCCCAGCTGTTAAGCCAGCAATAAACCATGTCAGCGTTTCTTCCGTCGGTCTAAATAGCTAGTTTACAGACGTAACTATGTTTAATCTCAGAATCCAGGCACTATTAAAGTAAATCTAAAGTAAAAAAAAAAAAAAAAAGTGATTTTCTTTGAGATACAAGGTATTTATTGAAGCCAAAATTTGTGAAGCCTGTGTGTGATTACAACAACACTCACAGTGCATGTCAATGATTTCCTCGAGGCTTGGGAAAATGGTCTCAAGGTCCAGGGCAGAGAGGATTTCCTCCCTCTCCAGCGGCTTGGCGAACACCCACTGAAGGACACTCAGCATTCTCACGTGGGCATGCTCTGTGGCAAACAACTCTAAGACGGAAACCAGGGAGTGCAGAATGGGCAACATGAAACAGAGGCACGTGAAACTTCTCTCTTTCTTTTTAATCACACTTTGCTGAATTTTACCGTTTATGACTTCCTGCCTCTTGGTCTCCTTCTTGCCGAGGTTCTTTAAGGTGTCAGAAGACGCCTGCACCCTCCAGCTGGGCGGGTCCTGCTCCAACTCCTGCAGGCGGGGGTCAATCTCCTCCAACTGTGGGGACGGGCTTGTCGGGGGCTGGCCAGGCACTTCAGAAGGGAAAGCTGGTCCATCCAAACTAACACAGAAAAGACACATTAGCTTACAGCTGCTTAACCAGGTACAATCCAGGCAGTCTTTACAGTGCCCTCTACAGTTTATCCAACTCCTGGTAAAGTTTAGTAGCAAATGTTTTATTATAGTAGCCCAACATTGTGCTAAAAAAAAAAAAAAAAAAAAAAAACTAGGAATAAAACATGAGTAAATTTAGCACCATATTCTCAAAATCTTTACAAGCAACTTTATAAGCCATACTCTCCTAAATATTTTAAGGTGCAACAATAAACTCTTGAAGGCAGATGTTGATGCTAGCTGCGCAGGGAATCAGGGGTAATATTGCTTTTATTCAGGCAGAAGTCCAGACACCAGAGCTTAAAGCTTCCCGAGCCCGTTGCCATAACAATACTTGACCTGGACTTGGTTGTAGCATTTGACTCAAAAAACAAATACTGGTTTTGGAATTCCCATTCCCATTCCCATGGGAGATTAAACTGAGGATGTCCATGAGCCAAAGAAACCAATAAAACTCTTTACTAACGTCATTGTGGCCAATCAAAACTTACCAAAACAGGATGGCCAAGACCCACATATCCAAAAAAATTAACCAAGAGAAGTGGCGAGTTGAAGTCAATAGGTTGAGAAAGAGCACAAGATGAATAGAATGTTTATTTTAAGATGATGCCACCGCTGAGGTGAAGTCCGGTTATTGGTTCTGTCTCACTTCACTGGAACCTCTCCAATGTCTGTTAATAAATCCCAGGTTGAAGTGGTTTCCATAAGACTACAGTTTCAGTTTTAAAATATTCAGTTATTTCACTGATGTAGAAAGGGGCAAGTTTAGGCCCGTCGTCATTTTTTAAAGGGTTTTCCTGAATTACGAAGATCAATGCACATCTGCCTCTCTAGAATAACTTCTTGCTTTTTTGTCATTTGAAGAGTGGCTAAAAGAGACGACACTCCGTCATGACATATTGCACCCTGGAGAAACTGGGACTGACAAATTACTAATTAAAAGTTCCTAGGTAAATCTAGAACAATAAAAAGCTGTATTTATCCAATTAGTTTTTCCTAATGTTCACCAGTAAAATTGTAGAAGGCACTGCAAAAGATGCACAATACATTTCTAGTAATACACAGGTGTTTGTTCCTCTTGGGAAAGAAATTAAACTTCAGTATTCATGAAGAGCAGTATTTATGATACTGCAAAAGAAAAAAAAAATCTTATCAAAGTGAAACAAATGTTTACAAAATAATATCGGTTCAGGAAGATTCTCCCCCTTCAGGTCATCTTTTTTTTTTTTCGCTGCATCTTTAGGTGAAATCAAAAGATATTAATGTTTTTGGGTAAAAAGTCCAAAAACGTTAAAATCTTCCTTTTACATCCCTATTCCAAACTGGTAGCTCTAGTGACTGTGTTCGACATCCTGTCTGTCCCTGCTGTGAGCTTCTCCAGCCGTAGAGGCTTCAATGAAACAGGGACTGCCCATCTTACGGATGGAGGTGCTGCGGGGACAGCGGGGCAGGACTTGTTGCAGAAGACGGAGGCTGCAGGTCCACGTCGCTACGGGAGCGAGACTGTTTACGAGAAGAGCCACGACGCCGAGACGAGTGCCGGTCCACGCGGGCGCTCTCGCTGCGTCCTACTTTCCTGCTTTATGGAGGGAAGGTAGGAGAGGACGAGGGGGACAGGAGGACGAGGGTGAAACGAAACAGGGACAGGATAAAGATGTGGGAGGAGAAAAAGAAACAAAGAAAGAGAAACACAGATCCAAAAGACAGTAGAAAAAATGAAAATTACAGAGAGGTGTGAGGATGGGGTTAAAATTTGAGTTCATTATCAGAATAGAGAGAATAATGGATGACTGAAATTAATTAAAGAGTTACAGATAAAAAAGACAAAACTAACAAAGACAAATACTGACTGAAAAGTAAATATGCATGACAATGCCATGCATGTCATGCATGCATTAGTATGACAAAAAATACTGAATTTTTTTTTATTTGACGTCATAGCATCTGAATGCCACGCAGCAAGTGTCTTTAGCCATGCATTGCCTCTACATTTAATTTAGTTTTATCTCTCCAGTTTCAAATAAAGCAGATATTTACAATCCAGCTGTTCTCCATAATCTAGCTAATCCGGACGAATCAGTTTTTTTTACATACTTAGCCAGTTTGTGTTGCATCGTAACAGGAACACAAAACTCGGTGTAAAGTGTGTTTGCTTATGAGAATTGCGCTCTCTGTCTGCATCATATGTGAACAGATATTGGGGCCTGAAGCGTGTCTCTGCTGTTTTCTCTGCTGACACCCACCTTGGCTTCCGTCTGCAAAAACACGGAACATCACACTGTTACACACTCCTCTTCGCCTTTCACACAGCTGACTTCAACCACAGTCACAACCAGAACATGCATGTACGCACACCCCAACATGAGTGACACCCTGGAGATGTTACTGAGCCACGGTCCGAGCTGCATGCCAGGTACGACGCTAAAAGCTCCTGGCAACAACATGGAATCACACAAGACGCAAGCAGAGATGCAGGGCTGGTCCTGACTTTTGACACACGGAAACACCTTAGGAAGCACATTGACTAAGCAGCTAAAATACGACTAAAGCTTGACTGAAGGTCGAAACTTCATTTACGGCTGAAAAGCTGCACCTTGGAAAGCAAATAATGGCTGTAATCAATAATCAAACTGTATTCATTACAAACTGATCAGCATTGTGAATATGTGCCCGATTCCAATGGAAGAAAAAAAAAAAAAAGGTTGTAACATCTCTGAAACTGAGGCCAATAAAAACTGCGATGAAGCTCTGATGTTAAAATGAGAAGAAACACACAGAAACAGAGAGACAACGGAAAGGGAAAACACATGCCACTGTGAGGAAGATGAATGAAGAAGGATAAAAGGGAGAGGGAAGGCAAGGGGGCTGAGTCCACGTTCACCTCGGTGAGGGTCCGTCTCAAAACTGCAGGCTCTGTTAGCTAGCGAGCGACGGGCGGCATGACAAGAGCTAGCACACAGCAGGGACAGACAGCTGGGGGAGTTTTACCACACTCCCACAGCCAGCACAATTCAGACGCATTCGGCTTTTCCTCCCCCGTTTCCCACTCTATCCAATGTAATCCCCATCTCTAGTCCTGAGCCAATACACTGATGTTAATCGGGTAATATTTTCTCTCCTGTCTTCATTCTTCCTTCTCACCTTTCTCTGTCCGACTCCTCTGGGTGAGTGTCGTGGGGGGAGCTGTGCTCAACGACAGAAACCCCGGGTCCGATCTCTGGAAGGGGTCCGTCTGGCGGCGAGGGGAGCTCTAAGGAACCGAGACCTGAGAGACCTGAGAGGGCAGAAAACCTCATTTTACTATCAGCAAAAAAAAAATTCAGAGTCAAAGGCAGTCAGATCGGTTCAAGTACAATTGAGCTTAACAAAAGACTCATTCAACGACTGAGAATTTTGCAACAATCATTGTGAAATTTGCCCAACAGAAACTCCAAAAATATTAATCGTTTTATTTGACAGAAATTTTTGATTTAATCAGAGTAATGTAATAAAATCAAAGTTAGGGTTGATAAAATGTGAGCCTCCACCACAATTTCAAATTGTTCAGCTTTTCTGTTTCCCCTTCCTTACAGCTCCAGCTCCAAATATTCCAACACTGAGAAATGTCCAATGTTCCTTGTCACTCATTTCAGACTGCAATACTCATATTTATACATTATACAGCATAAAACATTTCAAATTTCAAGACTCCTTTTCTTGTAATTCTGACGATTTTGGCTTATAGATAATTAAAATAATTACTGGAAGCTCATGGTGTCCCGTCCTAATTAACTAATTAGATCTTCACAATCATAAAGGTTTTCTGAGCCTCTAAATGTTCTCTTGGTCTGGGTCACTAGGCTTCACCATGGCAGAGACATGGCTGTAATTTCACTGGGATTAAAACGATGCGCTCATGTTGGGACTGAATTCAATGTGTCAAAATTGTAAAACATGCTGAAGCACTCCAGCAGTTAACTCTAATCAGTTTTCAGAGTCAGTATAAAGTAGAATTTCCTGCGTTACCATCGGCTGGGGTGGGCTCTGTGGTGGTGGGGGTCAAGTTGTTGCCGGCAGGCTCCGCATTTGGCGCTGAGGCTGTGTTTTCAGGTTTTTTGGCGGAAGGAACTGGAGTTTCGGTCAACGAGCCTCTGCCAGAAACCCCTTTAATTTCCCTTCCCTTAGGATCTTTGTCCACTGCAGAGGAAGAAATGGATATCTTTATAAAATCGGAACTGCTAACAATACAGCTGCAGAAAGCCATAACCCAAAAGCACCCCAGTCAGGTAAAAAACCCCAAAAAAAAAAAAAAAAAAAAAAAAAAAAAAAAAAAAAAAAACAAAGACAAAAGAAACCCGGAAAAGACTATGAGACAAGCAAAGAATTTGAGTATGTTTGGTGCAATCAAGGCTCCTGTTACGGATGGGATGGTTAGATTGAGGATCGTAAGTCTTCTAAACAAGCTTCTTTAGGACACCACAACTAAATATCCACTGAAACTCAGGGGAAGAACGATGCACCCACACACTCTTGCTGTTTGATGTAAAACATGCAGACATGCTGATGCATTGATTAGTAGGGGTGAAGTCATTCTACACATAATAAGGGAGGAGGACTCTGAACAAAGAGTACCTTCAGGATCTTTTGGTTTGCCTTCGACTGCAACAGGAAAGAAGGGCAGGACAGGTTCTTATATGCAGACCATTTATTCAGATCAATATGCATGTTTTGTAATGTTTCTAAAACACATAGATGTTCAACATGTATGAATTTTATATAACTAATAAATGGAATTTTAAATGTTTAAAATAAATCTGTATGTACATGACAAAAAAAAAAAATCTATACAAAATGTGAAAACAAACAAACAAACAAAAAAACAGTATCTTACTGCTGCCTCCAATCCAGGTGGGAACATGGAACCCCCGAATCTTGGATTTCTGAGGATCATGATTCTTCTGCTAAGAGAACACAGGGGTAGAATAAAAAGAAGGTGAAATAAAAATCTCAAGCGAAAATAACATTAAAAAATGCATCCTGAAAATAGGTTTATAGAAGCAAAGTTGATTTGATTTACTTTCTTTAACTGGAAAGGGCTGTTTCCTTTCTGCACTCATGAGGATACCATACCTTAATCCAAGGGAAACCTCTTTTGGACTTTTTACTATCTCCTGCCCTGTTTTTGACTTCAAGGTGCTTCATGTAGGCAGCCACTGCAGAAAAGACGGCTTGGCTAGAAGAAAAGTTAAAGAGAGTGGTTATCTAAAAATGAAGCGACAAAAACGCTTTCTAATTAAACTTTTTTTTTTTTTTTTTTTTTTGATTGACACATCAGCAGAAAACAGTAAGGCTACCGGTGCAGCCACACAGTTGCTCACCTATATCTGTTTGAGTTTCTGTAACTGAAAAAGCTGGATTTCATAATTTAGGCAGCTTTAAGGAATAACTGAAGGTTCTTCGACACAGACTGTCGTTTGCATTTTGTTATGCTAACAACGCTAAAATAACGCTGATATTAGATGCTAATGCCAGTTTGAAATGGCAACACTGACTGTTCTCCGTCTACACACAAAAAAACAGCTCAACTATGGTATAGCTAAAAATATTTATTTGCCTCTCACCCTTAACATTAAAATCTTGAAACCAAGTACCACCACATGTTAAATGGATTCCTGCTACAGTCATACTTCATTAAAGGCTGATGGCACTTATTAGAAATTCTCTGGTGTATATTAATGAAGCGTTTGCTCCTGCTAGATGAACGACAGCCAGCATCTTTAACGCCATTTATCAGACGCCAGGTAGCAATGGAAAGATAATGATTACCGAAGAAACTGGCTTTGCATTTCTCCGCAAGTAATAAAGAATCAAAGGAAATATGTTGAATTTTGTAATTAAAAGTTCAAGAGAAATCAAACCAACGGACAAAAAAAAGAAAAAGAACTTAAAACAGAGGCGGAGGAAGAAAGAGAAATGAAACAGGGGAGGGACTGTTTTTCAGAGGTGGAGCTTCAAATAGTGGGGAAGAAGAAAAAAATGTGTGTAGAAACAGAGGAGGAGCTGAGGAGATATTTGAGAAATCGGGGAGCGTCTGGGGTGGAGCCCCACAGTAGCAGAGCTTCATATAAGGAACCAACACACTGTTTGAAAGCACATCCTCCATCGGATACAATGACAACAGAACAAACTCAAACTACAAAATCCTTCAGAGCATGCTTAAAAGATCACTCTTTGTCAAATCCAAATGAAAATATAACAAAACTTAGAATGCATCATAAAACATACAAAAAATAAAACCAGTAAGGTTTTAGAGAATGAAAACATACGTATTAAGTTAACTCTTCTGCAAAGCTAGCTTTATAAATTAGCATTTGGTGGGCTTGAATGCATAAAAACCTTGTGGTTTGGCCACACCCAAGCTAAGCATGCAGAGATGCAATGTACGAAAACAAGAAACATTAAGGAAAACCTTTCAAACTTAATAAAATTGAGTTTAAAAAAAAAAGGGTATAACTTACCACTTATCCTCATCTGGGACAAAAGTAAGTCTAAAACAAAAGAGAGGAAACAGATACACAATGACTTATCAACAGAAGTGGGAAAAGCAAACCAGAGTTATTCACAGCTTACCTCTTCTTTTTAAGTAGCATTTTCCCGTTCGCTTGCTCGACTAATTATCAGTTCTGTTTTGGGTCGGTGGAACTTAAAGTGACTAAGTTTATCTTGATGCAACGCAAAGCTGACAATCTGGTTGTTGTGCTCAGAGTTAAAGCTTTTGATCATATTCTAAAGTTTGCGCAAAAAAATGAAGACCAAAAAAAAAAAAAGAAGAAACAAAATGAAAAAGATCAAAAACATGAAATGAAAAGCATCCAACAGTTTTACAATGTCTGTCCTTCTACTTGCAAAAACTATACTTATACAAGCAGAACAAACACTAATTAAAACTTTGGTCTCCCCAATATCTGCTGACGTTTCTTCTCCGGTAAAAAAAAAGAGTCTGCCAAAGGGGAAATCTGAAATGCTCCAACACAGCGGAAACGCTCTATTTAACCATGTTTTTGTCTGATGCAACATGCAGGCAAGACTGCAGACATTCGACCCTTCTGTTTTGAGATGAACATAAAAGAATGGGAGGGGTTTCCCCGGGATTTCCCTGCATTATCCAATCAAATGTCTAGTCCATCTAGTTTGCATCACCACAGAAACCAATGAGCAACAAAATGGGGGTGAGGTCACTGTGCTGTGGTCAAGTGAGAGAGGAGCGTGTGGAGGGTGATCGGGTGCAAGATTGTGGGAGATTGTAGGAGGCAGAGGAATAGAGAGACAACTGTTAGAAGGAATGAATAGAGCGAGAAGCTTGTTGGATCATTTGCGCAATGGAGACAGACATCCAACAGCGCTGAACCAACCGACAAGTCTGAAGCTGAATTAATGTCTTGAAAAGTTTGGAAACTCCTTCCACTATCCCTGCCTGTTTTCACAGGGTGACAGCAGAGTGTGAACACTGTATTTCCTTTCCTTTCATTCCCACTTCCTCCTCCTTTCTGCTGACAGGATGAAGTTAGACAATCCTCTGTCCTCTCCGTGGTCTCCTTTCCCTCCCTGTCTGACCGGCCGTCTGAAAAACCGTTGATGGCTGTGGGGTCAAGGGCAACTCTCAGCTGCTCTCTGCTCATCGCAGAAGCAACGCTGCACTGATAACCTTCAGGATCCTTTGCTCTCTGCATCTCTTGTTGTGCATAAGACCCCCACCTCCACCCCAACGAACACTTGGCTGAGCTCCAGGGAGAGCCTTCCTGCCAGCGTGGCACTCCTGCCTCCATCTTTTCCTCTCTGCCTTCTCGTTTCCTTCTCACGCTGTTTTGCTGTGCTTCTGTCGCAGCTCTCCTGCCAACGCTCTCACCCCGAGAGCTTCTTTTTTCCTCTAATATGCTGCTGGATTCCCCGCTGTGCTTCAGGTTAAATGCATTGCATGCATGCGTAAAATTGAATGCGTACACAGTTGGAAGTTTTATTGATTCCCGTCCAGGAATGCCTAAATGATAATCAAAAAGATTACACACCGAGCAGCTTTTGAACATAATTGTATGTTATTAGGGACGGATGATTATCAGATTCTTCCTTATGACTAACTAAAATGGTATCCAGAGTTCATAAATAGTCTGGAAAAATGTGGGATTTTACTTGCTTACATTTCCAGTCTTTATTCCTTAAACCTTCTCTTCTTGTTCTTACCATCTTTCTTCCCTTTGTCCTCCCTTTATTTATTTCCTGCCTTCCTCCCTCAAGTACTAAATCACTTTCTTCCTCCCTTGTGCCCTCACTTCTTTACCTCCTTTACATTGTTCCTTCCTACTCTTCTTGTGTCCTTTCTTTCTCTCCTTCCATTTCCTTTTTTGCGTCTTACCTGCCTTTATTTTGCTCCTTCTTTCTTAGCAGTTGAATTCGTACATATCCGTCTTTGCAACACATTTACTTGAACTGTACATTTTGTTATTTTTGTGCTGCATGTCTCCATAGTTTGTGCTGAAAATCAAATAATAAAAAAATAAAATAAAAACTAAAGCTGATAAATTTCACCAGAGTTTTCCAGTGGCTCAAAATTGGCATATTAAACATTCTTGTCGTTTTCTTCTTCACTAAGTTTAACAGCAAATTTAAGCTGATATTTGCTCCTTAATTATACAGGCCACCTGCCCGGGAAGGATCCGCACTCAGCTGCTGAATAAACACGCCGCTCCTTGCTTGTCAACCTCGACAGTCATCGTGTGGAAACTGTAACAGCGCCAGCATCTTACGTGATGGGAAATATTTCCAGAAAGCAAATGAAAAATGTAGGGGCCTTTGTTCCAGCCAACATACAGGCAGTGTACAGCAACATGTGGGGGAGGGGCAGTACTGCTGTGCTCCATACAGCCACAGAAAAACTCTGGCCACTCCAGTAACTTTGACACCTCAATATAAAGATCTTAAAGCCTAAGAGTGGCTGAAATTGTACACAGCTTTTATTCTTCAAATTCATGTTTGCCTTGATACTTGAAACCAGAAGAATACAGTTCTAATTTTAAAAAAGCCCTTCATGCAGACATAATCCCTCTCTTCAATGAGAGCAACAAGCAAATGTTTTTGGTCAAATTCAGTAGAAAATGAGCCTCAAACTCGTCGTCTGTGCAGAACATCAAAAAAAAGCTCAACATGTGAAGTAACGCTTGACAAAGAAAGAAAAAAGCCACTTACTGTGAATCAAACATCTTCTCCAACAGATTCTCGGCCACAGACTTCTCCTTCATTTCCAACGGGACGCGGTCAGTGGGATAGTGATTCTCCACGTCCATCACCTGCTCCTCACAGAGGGTCATACCCATCATCCTTTTTTGCCTGTGTAAGAACAAAAACAACAACAAAAAATCAGACAAAGGCTGTTAAGGGAGACGTTTGTCGCAGTAGATAATACAGGAAGCAGACGTACAGTACTTAGAACATGGAAAGATGCAAAAACTAAAGTAAAACTTTGTTGCTGTAACAACAAAAAGTTGTAAAAATTCATATAGGCTTTATAACCGAGAGGAGCACCGATTATGAATGTAATGGGAAGCAGCAAATGCATTTTAATCCATAACCCATAAACTCCCTGTCAAACAGTTAAACCCAATGGTGCTTAGGAGACGGGAGGGGGAAATAATAAATCCAGCTGCTTTCAGTTCAAACGCAGAGTTCCAGCTAGAAGAGGTTTACCTGAAATCTTCCAGCTGTTTGGCTACTTCTGCAGTTTGAAATTTCTGGACATCTGCAGCGTAACGCCTTTGGGTGTCATCTGACAGCAATTCTGGGCGAGTTCGGTCTTGGAAAAGGAGCAGCAGAGTTTAGAATAATTAACACTTCCTGAAAGAAAAGCTACAATCCACAAATAAAAAAAAACTTCAACATTTGTAATAGCTAAAAATATATATATATATATATTGACCTACCCAATTCAAAGGATAAACTGGATGGCATCGACACTCTGAGAATCTGTAATGAACATCAAATAAAAATGGTAAAAAGTAACTGGATTTAAATTCTAAAGAATTATAGTTTTTGCATATATCTAGAACATTTCAAAGGCTTATAAAAAGTTATGCATAAATCCATATAACCTTTTTAAAACTGAGGCTGTTTTAAGTTCTTAAAACCTTCTCACATTTACAGCAAATAAAGACACTATGTGGGTTTTCTGCTGCAGAAGAATTATGGACGGCTAATTAACTTTTTCTAATTTAAAAAAAACAAAAACTAAAGAGCGAAAAAAAGAAAATCATCTGCCAACTATTTAAATATACATTTCTGGCATTAAAAAAACAATAGTCTGATCAATTGTACTTAGATTTGTATAAGTGAGTGAAACATTGGCTTTATGACTTGATTGAATCTGCAATGTGTGCTTTTGCAAACCTGAGATTAGATTTAAATCATTTCAAGGCCTGGTAATGGCCAAATCATCATTAAAGACCTACAGAACTGATATGGTGCAATTGCTGTGTTTCTCCACCAGGGGTCATTTCAACACCAGCAATGAAAACAAAACCTATCAAAGTAGGAAGCAAAAGCATATCCATACTAAGAGCTGCGAAGCTCTTATGTGGATAAAAGTAACTAAATAGTCCAACTTTGAGGCTGGAGGATCACCACAATGCTGCTTTTATTTATTTATTTATTTTTAAGCTTGAGACCTATGACGAATAATTCCTCCTCGGGGGGTTTTCCCACGATCCCGACAGGAAGTTGAAAGGTTAGAGGACACATGAAGAGAGAGAGCAGAGTTGACTAATAAGTGGAGTCTGAGAGATGTCTGAGGAGGAGGTGAAGAGGAGAAGTGAGAAAGGTCAGGTGAGCAGGGGGGAAACAAAAAGATACAGAGGGCAGCTGCTTTGATAGAGACCAGAGAGCAAACACAAATGACACGAACACAGTTAGGAACAAGCAAACAAACTCCTGGTCACACCGAGTACTGCTCTCTTATCAGAGCAGGACATGACAGGTACATCTAAATAATGTTGCATATTATTGAATTTAGTTTAAAAGAAATGAAACTGATTTTATTACACGCGAGTGGAAATTGGAATACTTCCACTCATGCATAATAAGGGTTTATTACCGTTTGCTTCAATGATTCTGGCCCCGACATAATGAAAATCAAGAATGTTATTTCACGGAATATTTGAATATTAAATAAGAAAAAGAAATCATCAGAGTGGACAGGTGGCAAGACCTGCTAGGGGAAAGTGAGCAAAGCGTGAAGTGCTCTCACGGCTGTGCAGACTTATTAATGGATAAAACAAAGCAGACCAACACCAGCAGATGACACGGCTCCCTAAATCTTCACTGGATGTGGAAATTTCACACTGAAACTTTTACTCTCTGCCTCTCTGCTCTTCGTCCAGCGTATCAGACCTTGATTTCCAAATGTAATGGAAAATGTACCTTTGTCTGAAAAGAGGACTATGGGATGTTGGCTAACAGTCCAGTTCTTTTCTTGCTACTACAGTTTTTGTTTTGTTTTCATCACAACCTAACCAAACCTTAGCAGTTCGGCCAAGTGCAATGCCGATGCAGCACTGTCCCATTCAAGCTAACTGTTCTTGTTTAATTGCAAATAGTTAAGTGACAGGTTTTTGAGGTGTTTACTATTATTCCTTTTACTCTTTCATTTGTCTACAGATTTCTGGAATCTGCTTTCATCTTAATTCTTTTTTTTTTTTTTTTGGCAGAAAAAAATGTAGCGTTTTACTTACAGCACCCTTCTCCAGGAAGTTGTTGTAGAACTCTGGAAACTGTTTCTTGGTGTCTCTGGCATTGAGGTTCTTCACGATGTCAGCGTGAAGATAGCACAACTGTGAAGGAGGCAGAAAACAAAGCAACTTTTTAGTCTGACATTTGCAACAGTTGTTGATGGAAGAAGTCATTTTAATATTCATCATAAATCCTAAAAATCACTGACAAACCAGACGTGTCAGACATAAACTAACAATTTTACACTCTAGCAACTATGACAGTGATTCTTTATTCTTGTTATGTAATGTCTTTGCAATCTGCAGGCTCTATGTCAGCTACACGAACGAGCAATACTTAATTTTTAGAGTGTATTATGTTTACTGAACATTATTTATGTTAGAATTTGATACTTGCACAAACTTAGAGCTCTCAGATCAGTGAAGTTGAAAGGGTGGGTAAATGGATGGAAGATGGATAAACAGAGGACAAGTAAATGAATGGATAGATGAGCAAATGAATAGGTAGATGGTGGAAAGGCAGACATAGATGATAGATGGCAGAACCGATGGATCGATGGGCGAATGATGGGTGGATAGAAGGACAGATGTACAAATGAGTGGATGAATGGACAGACGGACAAACAGATGAATAATGGATGGAAACATTGAACAATGCAAATAGATAACGAACAATAAAAAGTATGCTGAAATGCAAAGAAAATATCACTGGATGCCCTTTCATGAATATCGTGGTTATAACAAGTGAAATTTGAGACAATTTGCACCTTTCGACTTCTTTTTATGCACAGCAATCCAAAGGAACTAATCCTGTAAATCTGCAAAGTGAGACTTTCCAAACTTTGAAAAGAGCACTTCATCAGTCTGTGGAAAACTCCAGTGTATAAGTTACTCCTCTTCCACAGACTCTAATTCCCAAACGTAGGGCTGAATTATTCAACTAACCTTGTCTGCTGCAACAGATTTTCACAGAGTATGAAAGAGTCAAAGGCGAGCAAGCGCTCCATTTACACTTCATAGATCCATGAGAAAAAAAAAAGTAGGGCAAAGGTAAAAGGTTAAATCCAAACCCACTTAAGGCAGAACTGGATTATTTTCCAGGAGAAATTAAAAAAGTTACTTTACAACAAGAAGAAAAAGTATATATTTTAAGAGTGCAGAGAGTAATTAAACAACATGGGGATAACGTTATCGGTACAAAGTCGCATTTTTGATAAAGATAAGTAGATAAAAAATAAGCCACTTATATCCAAAGACAGCACATCTTTTTTTGGGGAGTCCTGCCTTTTTCCAAAGTAACACAGAGCAAACAGACAAAGCATGCTCTAGAGAGGGTATTTCTGTGTTTAGCCTGCAGTGTAAATTCCTCTACACTCTTGGAATGAGAAGGTGAGGCAGAGGGGGATTCAGTTCACTGCACTTTACAGATTTGGCGTTGGATATGTCTGAGGTCTGTGGACAGCTGTCAGTAAAAGGAAGACATAATAAATCAATTAAAATGAGCAAAAAGGCAACATGTAACAACAAAGGGTGTTTTTCTATTAAAGGTTAATAAAAAATGACAAACAAATTGAAGGTCAATCATTTTTCTTTAACACAGTGTAAAGATAAAGTTATATATATATATATATATATATATATATATATATATATATATATATATATATATATATATATATATATATATAGTTACACCAGAGGCATCAACACACCACATAAAACCCTTGTTTTTCCTCCTCATTCACTAAGTCAGACTAAACTTGTCCCGTTTTAGGTTAGTTAAAAAGAATTGATTTATTTTCTTAGATTTTAGAATAATAAATAAATATGTAATTAAACAGCAAGTGTTTTTTTTCTATAATTTCTCTCAGTTTTTTTGCAATTCCAAAATAACTCTGGTGATTATTTTGTTATCTATTTAGTGACACTCATGTTATTAATTTTCTATTACAGATCACTTGTCTGGTATGGAATTTTGTTCTTGTGCAATTTTTTAATATATAAAAAAGTAAAAAAAAAATGTGTTGAGCAGAAAAGACATAAAATCACTTAAGGCCCTCTGTATCATTCACTTTCATATATTAACAGTATTTAGGAACTATATTTTGCAGCAAATATATTTCTATTTAGATTAAATTCCTCACAGACATACAGAAGCAAAGGCCAGGGCGATTCATTTGTGGGAATCTACTGTAGACGACTGTCCCCAACCCCAATCTTCAGCCCTCATTTCCTGTCTGGATCGGCACAGACATAACTCCACTAAATACCTGCAAACTTCAAACCAAATCCCTGACATTATTACGCGGAATCTACATCGATGTGTGAAAAGTGAGTGAATCTCTAAACACTCCAACCTTTTGAAATGACTGTAAAGTGAAACATCTTTCAGCTTTTAAAAAAATGTAAACACATCTGTAACCCCCTAATCCATCAAAAATGGATCTTCTGTACACGAGATGCTAGGTTCTCACCAAGGGCGCAGGGTCAAACTGGAGAATGACATGCTGCATGAACACCAGCAGGTGAGTTGGCCGTTTCTTCAACAAGTCGATGCTGTCGAAGTGTGGGCATTTGTCATCTGCTGACTGCGACGCACATCGGAAGAGCGACAAGAAGATGGAAGAATTACAAACTTAAGCTAAAAGTAATGATACAGTTAGATTCAACAGTTTCTCTTGCACTTCACTCACATCTGCTAAATCGTTCTCGAAGTCCTCGTCTTCAGCCCCGATGATGCTCATGGCTGGCTTAGAGCGCTGAGCTCCAAACAAACCCTGCTATGGAGAGACAGAAGAAGAAAACGGTGGAAAACAAAAATGCTTAGTAAATAATTGAATCTTCATTACACATCTTAATCTTTTGATTCAATAGATCATTGCTAAGCAGAGGTAAATGGTAAGCCAGACAGGAGACAGAACGCAGGGAACTTTCCAAGTGTAAAATAAAAAAAAATGTATTAGGAATTAATTTGTCAGATTAGCAAAAAGACCCATCAATTTCAGTACCACTTGCTAAAACACAAAACATTCAACATTATCAAACTGCAAAGATACCTGTAGCTTATATGCTGTTACCGTTAGGTTATTTGCTGAGCTCAGGAGCAAACGTTTTGACTCGGGCAACAGCAAGTTCTTACTCAACATACAACTCAGCAAACAGTTCTCCTGTAGATGTCATGACGTAACAGCAAGGATCTAAAAACGGCACCGAGTTAATCTGAAAATAAAGGTTTAGGCCAACCCTTCTCTTTGAAATCAATGAATAGGGGGGGGGGAAAGGCTTTGGAACATGTGACAAACTTACCTCCACCCTTTACACCATTCACCACTTCCCCTTCCCCAAAACACACAAACAAAACAGAGCTCCTGTATTCAGTCCTCTGAAGGCCACAGACCCAGAGCCGCCAGCAGGGAACACCCAAACACACATCAAAAAGGTAAACCGTACAACGCTGGGTGACAACAGTGGGCACAGTGTAAGAACTTGGTGACGCTGAAAAAGAAAGACGGAGGTGTGATGTGTAGAGTGCCAAGAAAAGGCATTTGCTTCTTACCAATTTTAGCTTTGGCTGTCATGCTTTAAATCTTTCAGATCAAACAAATTTCATTATCATAGGTAGCCAGATGCAGTTCTCAATTACAACACATGCTGTCCTTACCAACTTGGCGCTAAGAGAAAACGTGTGTGCCCCTATACCTACTAAGTGGTTGTGGCAACCATTTGGGAGCAACTGCTGTCACTGTAGAGAAAATATAGTCCACTCTTTTTGCAAAATTGATTTATTTTAGCCTCACTGGGGTTTGGGGGGCCAGGGGGGCTTTCTAGCATAAGCAGCATCTCAATTGGATGCGAGCCCAGAGTTTGTCTAAGCCAGTTCAAAACCTATCTTTTGAAGAACCAGTAATAAGCATAATTGCCATCACTAAAATCTGATATGAAAAATGTGAGGACAGCGTTCTTATGTACAGTCTGAAGTGAGACGGGGGGTCTCTTCCAACTTACAATAGACTGGACCACAACAAACACAACAGCAAGCAAACCCAGAGGCATTCAGTGGACTTTGTCCTCTCAGTTGGAAGACCTTGACTTTGCAGATGACCTTGCTCTTCCACAAACAAGCCACTGTAGCATACAATCCGAAACTGACAGAATCAACAAACACACCAGACAGGTCAGACTTAACATCAACAGCTCCAAAACTCAAGAGATGTGCATAAATTCCCCCTCAACAGAATCCAGATGAAAGGAGCACCACTTGAGTTGGTGGAGAATTTAACCAACCTCTGTAGCCTCATCAGAAAGGACAGTGCTGTCCATAAAGACATTAGGGAAAGGCTGGGAAGCATTACGGTGTCTTTCCCAAGCTCTGTTCCATCTGGAGGGCTTAACAATAGAGCCTTTAAACAAAGACGTTCCTGTACAACAGCAACGTCTAGTTGTCGTCCTGCATGGTTCAGAGTGTTGCCTTGCTGTCGTACATTATGAGACTCTGCCGGAGCTTTTGGCCAGCGCTTGATAGTCATCACAGAAGAGCGGTGGACTTTAAGCTGAAATGTAATATGTACACAAAGATCCAAAAACCCAAATGTTAAATAACTCGTGATCGAATCCCGTTTAGAAAAATCTCCAAATTACCTCTCACTTAACTTCTTTAAATTTTGCAAGTGATCTTGCAAAATTAGAATTTTTTTTTTTTTTTGCAAATCCATTTTTAAAACAAGTTACATTATGTGGAAAATGCAACATCATATGCAACATGTGAAAGCAGTCAAAAATAATAAAAAAAATACATAAGTGGAAAATCTTTTACCTAAAAATAACCTGATTTATTTGCTCATTTTCATGCAGCCACTGTAGTTAATAACTAACAAACTCTTAGAAAAGATTACTCTAATTGAAATTGTAATAAAGAACATGTTTGCCTTTCAGGGTTTCTAAATACACACACACACCACATGGCATATCCAGATGCATACAGAAGAACAATAAAAGTCAGCCTGCATCCCTCAACTACCGTAGCATTAACCATAGATACATTTCATCTTTATAGGCTCGGTCACTGATGCACACTCTTAAAACTAACAAGATGGTGCTTCCTTTTGAAAGGGCTGGAGCTAATTTAAGACATTAGGTAACCTGTCCTGCAGGCTAATGAATAAAACTGGAATTTCTTGCAGGGAGTCACGAACGCTGCAGCAGCTGGGATGAAAATGAGACAACCCTTTTGTTCAGGATTGAGGAAGTTAATATAATATACCAGGTAAACAACAACACATATCTGGATGACTAGAAGCACTACATAATAGGCATAACAATATGACCCCTGAAAGACAAGTAGTTAAGATGAGTTATCTGTTTTTGTAACTTTTAGTGGCTGAGCTGGATTAACGAGCAAGTGAATATTTTACCCCCGAAAGTTAAAAGTAGTAAAAGCAGGAAAAATGGGCCAGCATGAGGATTTACGTTAGCTCGAAAGGATCCAATTTTAAGGGCTTGATGACTGAGTGAGGACATCGACAAAACGTGAGACCTTATGTGGTGTTCTCAGTCTGCAGTACTCCAGATTCATGAAAAGCGTTTCAAGTAAGGAGCAGTAGGGAAACAGTGATGTGGTCAGGGGCAATAAAGTCTTATGCCTGTAAGAAATGAAGGTCCATGCGGTCCGATTCAACAACTGAACTTCTGTAGCTCAAATTGCCAAAGAAGTTATGGGTGGTTCAGATCAAAAGGTGTCCCAATAAAGCAAACATTGCATTACAGTTCGTTGCACATGGGAGTGCATTAACACAGATTTGTTAGGGTTTCCATGCTGAATCCTATAGACTTTTGAAAGAGCCAAAATGGGTATGTGAGCATCAGAAATGGAGAACAGAGCAATGGAAGAAGACGGTCTGGTCCGATGAAACATGAAGACTTTCCTCTGGAACATGTGGCACCGGGATGCAGTACAGGAAAAGGCCAAGCTGGCTTTGGCAGTACAATACTTTGGGTAATGTTTTGCTTAGATCCATGTGGATCTTACTTTGACAAAGTCCCATTACCTAAGCACTGTTGGCCACCATGTACCCAATTTAATAAAGACAGTATTCCCCATTGCTTGTGTCTTATTTCAGCAGCATACAGTTTCCTGCTAAAATGCAAAAATGGTTGAAGAATGATCAGAGAAGCACAAGTGAAAGGTGCTCATCTGACATCCAAATACTCCAGATCTCAATTAAATTAAGTATGAAATCTAAAGAAACTCCATCTCACAACATACTGGACTTAAAGGATCTGACGCTAACATTTTAATGCCAAGTACCACAACACAGTTTCAAGGATCTGGTGAAGGCAGTTCATCAAGTTCTATTTTAGCACCAACAGGGGATACACACACTAACAGGAACATTATTATGCCTGATTGGCATATACATTTCTTTGCAGAGTTCCTAATCATAAAATAAAGGGTATTAATTCTCACCCTGCATTACAAAAACATTGAAATCAATTGTTCTGGGGGCTAAATGGCAGATACACATTTACGCATAATGAAATGAATAGTGGCATTCTGTTTGACTCTGAAATCCTCCTGGCGAAGGACAATGGCTAAGATAATGACAAAAACTACACTTTTTTTGTTTTTACTTTTCAGTAAAGTAAAAGTACTAAAAAGTACTTCTACATTGCTTCTTCAATAACTATTAGGTCTTCTCGGTTGTGGCAGATGGCCTGGTTGTGCTGGAGGGGTTTTTTCCTCTCCACTGTCACTACATGCATGCTCAATATGAGGGATCGCTGTAAAGTCAAAAACACAAAGGAAGCAATTGTCTGCTGTCACTTTGTGCTTGTCCAGGAGAAGCTAATGCTACAAATTACTGATTTGATGCAATTTGCTGGGTCTCTTTATAGAAAGCCTTATAAATTAATTTGAATAATGAGCTGAACTTGATGCACGGTTTGATGACTAGGATCAATTTGAAAGTATGTACTGATTGAACTAAAATTACTTTTTTGTACAGTACCTTTAGATGGTATGTTGTGAATTAGGGCAGTATAGTTAAAGATAATTGAACTGAATTAAATAATTAAAAAGAAATAGAAAAAAAACAAACGCATTAAGAAAATGTGAAGCACCTAAAAGAAAAAAAAATCCACTTTTCGATGAGTGCACAAGTCTAATTACACAAATGAATTTGCAGTTACTTCGGCTGATTACGAGGGAACAACAACAACAAAAAAAAAATTCACTTGATTTCTGGGGAAACCTGAAAGGGTGATCCTGCAAGACTGGATATGTGACTTTGATCAAGTGTATTTGTACAGCGATGTGGTAGCTCTCATAAATGCTTTGGGGCCAAGCAGAGGTCTTCTTGTGCATGACTTCAACAGAACTGGTGGCATGGGAGACAGAAAGTGGAACTGGGAGACAGAGAGAGAAAATGGGTTCATTTATGACCGTATACAGTGGGCTGCATGCTGACAAAGGCCAGCTGCGGAGGAGGGGTTAGCTAAACAGAGAGAGTCACAGGCTTGTGGCAGCAAAAGCTGCACATCTGCAGAGACATACACAAACACAACAACACTGAAGTAAAGACACTTCTTCAAAATATGACTTTTTCCTGGTTGAAAGGTAAAATGCTTTTCTTTAAAACTCCTTTAAAAGATGAAGTGAAGCAAACAGAAAACCTTCAGACAGCTTAAGTGATTTCAGTCCAGGATAGGAATTGTTGTTCACATGACACCCTACAAGTTTAACTCGGGTCAAAATAACTGCACTTGCCATGTTCTTCAAAAAAAG